ATTGATATAAATAGCTTAAAGTTCAAGATTACGAATTATTATAGTTAAAATTATATGTTTGAACCAAAAACAACACAAAACCATACAAATAAAGTCGAAATTGACAAAAATTAAAACGAAACATAAATAAAAATGGATGCTTCGAATTATCAGTTTAGAATCGAGATTTCATCGTACTTGTACCACACAAACAGACTTATGATGTACGGTAAAAAAAGAAGAAAAAAAATCGTAAAAATGCATATCGAATTACAATTATACGAATTTACAAATGATAATACCGTCAATAATTGCGAGAGCCCTGATTCACATAGTGGATATATAAACGTACCCGTCATTGTTGTTGCTCACTCTTTCACGTAAATGAATGCATGATGAGACCTTCCAGTAAGTTGTAGGGTAGCATACTCTACAAGAGTCGTTGTCACGATATTTTCCTTTCATGTTACATAACATAAATGTAAGGTAACTATCAGCATTTTATAAATAGATATGACTTTAAAAACGACCAAAAATTAGAACACACAAAATGGTCGAAAACAACCAAAATACGCGTAGTTAAAATATGATTTGTGATCAAAACATATAAATATGTACTAAACAGTACTAACAACAAAACTCATACTTCCACATACATCATGTATAAAAAATTACATATTTCATATATATTTACATATGACAAATCAACAGTATGAGTTAACAATTTTTTTGTGTCATAATAAAAACTTCCTTCCGAATTTTCTTCTACATCTTCCCTTCGCCTTTATCTTGTGATGTTGGATAACCTGCAAAACAAATTATCACCATAATCGAGGGTTAGACCAAAAGGTATAGTGAGTAAATATCCCTCTTACAAATATAATTTACTGGAAACATCAAGATAGTTCAAACCTGAATCTTAACGATAAAACAACATTTTTGTTACACCATTATTTCATCTATCGCGGTTATGCCTCCATTCCATCTATGGCGGTTACACCGACAATTTCATGATTATAAGAATTCATTATTGTTTTTGTTCTTGAGACTAACTCTGCGGGTGGTTTATCCTTGAGTATTAAAGACGAAAACAACAATAAATTATAAACCTCAAGAATGAAAACTGTATTTTTGAAAATGAAAGTAAGCAATTTTCAACACACCGCAGACAAAAAACGGTTGTGACGCACTTGTAAAGTTCAACGATATGCACTTGAAATCTCATATTCTTTGGGTTTGAATCTAAGCACTGCCAAAGCCCTTGTGGTCGTAGAAGTGCATATGCGATTACTTCAGGTCATTTGTGGTCGCCCAAAATTCTTCAATATGCATAAACTGACCCAAAAACCCATGATTACAAAAAATATATATAATTTGATACGAGATGGATAAAAGTATAAGGAAAATTTCTTAGTGTTTTTATTCGCTTGCTAATAAAATATATATTTTTTATTTATTCTGTCTCAAAATAAGTATCCACATTTCTATTTATATATGTCATGAAGTAATTGTTCCTTTTCAAAAGTAAATAATCAAAATTTTAAGATTTGGCCAAAAAAAGATTTATCTCTTAATGGTTATAAAACTCTCAGAATAATTTTGTATCTTGGATCTTCCTTAACCATTCAGTGTCCTAATTTCATTATGAACAATTACCAAACAATTATATTTTGTTTTGCGCTACATCATAAGAGTCTCTTAATCACTTGACTACTTAATTATTATGCACTAAACCATTCAACAACTGTCAAACAATCTCTTATACTTAATGAATGCACAAATATCTAAGAGTTGTGAAAAGAGATAAATTAAATAAGAGTAAAAATATCATTTGATCAACTAAAAAAATATAATAATTGTGCATGCTTAATATTTGTATGTTATTATATTTATGGACACTTATTTTGAGACGAGTGTAAGGGTTGTTTTTTTTACCTCTTAATAGTTTCATTAAAAGATAGTTTATGAGTTGTTAAGAGGTGAATTTTGTTTGGCAAAAAAAAAATCCGCCTCTTAATAGTTCTAAAACCCTCTAAATAATTTTGTATCTCGACCCTTCTTTAATCATTTAGTGCTTAATTTTATTCTGACTACTTAATTATTTTACATCAAACCATTTAACAACTACCAAACAATGTGTGCTATTATTTAATATAACATCATGCAATTTAGATCGTACCCGTAGGCAGAGACCATGTACCATTCTCCCGGGGTCCTCAATGGTCACACCCCCCATGTGCAATATCTCAGAAAACTATACTTCTAATTTATTTGTCATCATGGTCCCCACTACATGAAACATCTCCTAATCCCACCCGTCCACGTGTCTTGCCTGACCCCTACCCATTAGTTACCGTTACGACAAACAACTGTATTTTGAAAACCAAATAATCCCTACTTCCTTGTTTGTGATTCTTATCGTGTATCATATTTGATCCGATAAATAATATTTTCAACAGTTATGTTATAATTTTTTTAAAAATAAAATGTTAAAAGTCAAAATCTTTATAAAAAATGTATTAATAAAATATTATTTATCTGTTATAAATATTTATTTTTAATAGTTGAGTTTTGTTGAGAATGAAAATTATGGTGAAAATAGGTAAGAAAAGATCTCTACCCTTAAATCAATCATAATTGAAGACCAACGCTAAAGAGACGCACCGGATCAATTCATGTAACAAGCACAAATCATGAGGCATTGGTGCTATTAAAAGTGATCAATGATCTACACCTTCTTATAAGGCATTGGTGGTGATATTATATATGATGTGGTTTATTATACAAAACAACACATTGTTCAAACCATACAAACCAGTATCAACAATCTATCTAGTACAATGAATACATGGTTTCATAAATATCTCGTTTGTTTTCTAATATAAACCGTTGATTGTAGTTAATGAACTTTGATTATTTTTCATATATATTCATATCATAATAAATGAACACTAATTATTTTCATAAATAGCTCAATTCATTGTATAGTTTGTAAAAACGACATGGGTTGCATTTTAAACCTTTTTACTCTCGCTCTCTCTCTTTTTACAACCTTTTACATTTGTATAATCAATACAACTCAATCTCAACCGTCCATTTAATTTGATGAATATGTGATTTCATAGAAGTTTTGATTGTTTTTTAATATAAATTATTGATCATAATTAATTAACTCTATTTATCTTCCATAAATATTCAAATCATAATAAATAAACTCTCATCATTTTCATAAACGTCTCAATTTATTGGGTTGCATTGGTTGTACAAATGTGATGAGTTGCATTTGAAACAAACTATCTCTCTCTCTCTCTCTCTCTCTCTCTATATATATATATATATATATATACACACACACACGCACCGCATGATAAAAAATGTGTTAAGTAACATGGATGCTTTATTGTTACAACATGTCTTTGAGCATCTCCAATAGATTCTTCAAAATGGAGAATCAACACTCAAAATATTAAAGAAATTACATTTCACCCCCAACAAATTATATATTTTGAAGATTATAACATTAATTATATTATTAAAATATTATATACATGTAATCAAATATTATTTATCTCTCGTAAAAATTTAATACGAAATTTCGTGGAATATAATAAAAACTCGTCTCTCTTATGGTAATCATTTTTTGTGAGTTCTCCAATTTTGAGTAATCTCACACTCTCTCATTGTTTTCTCAATTTTAAGAATCTATTGGAACAAAAAATTTGCCTAAAATATCCATTTTTTTGGGCAAATCGTTGGGTTTTCGGGCCACTTACACGTATCGACAAATCCCCCAAACGACTACAAATAATCTAGAGTCATCGTAGGTGAAACTCCATGGTCATATGAGCTTTTTCAACGTCTGGATTCGAACTCATAATAGATAAGATTTTCTACTATATCCCCTGAAACTTAACTGGCAATGAGGTACGTCACAACCCAAATGGTTGTATATTTTTTTTATGTTAACCGTAGGTGGTTGAGTCTGCTTGCGTGTAAATAGGCATGGCAACATGGCGAGGATGAGAGGGGTTTTATAATCCCCGGCCTTGGTCCCGGCGAGTAAAGGGGTTAACATCCGGTCTCCGGTTTGTTTAATTTTTTAAAGAATATCGTGGAAAGCTGTTACATGAAGAAGAGAGCTTGTCCCACAATACAAATAATGATACGGGAGGTGATGGAACATTTCCCGAGTATCAATGGAGGTAGGATCAGTAATTAAAAAGCTCCCAACTTTCAATGTCGAACGATTTGATTGTTTATTGTTGTTTTCATGTGGGTTTTATTTATAGTTATATTAACCATCATTCAAAACTTGAATTAAAGATTTCTTGTTTTGTTTCCTGTGGATTAGATCTCCATTATTATATTACTATTTAACCTGCAACTCTCAAAATCAATGGCTACTTTCAAGGTTTTATTCTCTGCATTTTTATTACTTTCATACTTCAAACAAGTTTAAGAATCTGTACCCAATTAAAACCATCTGTTTCTTAGGTCTTCTGCAGTTCATCATACTCTTGCATTTAGATTTTTGGGTTTGGATTCAGTTGGGTATTCTGTTTTTTTTTTCTTATAGACATTTTATCAAACATCTTATCTGCAACTTCGAACATTTTTGCTTCCTCTTTGCTACTGCTATATCTGGTCACTGTAGATTGTTGGAAGTTTGATCCAGGTGAAGCCCATATGCCTTCAGCTATTTACTTCACTGATTCAGTCGAATCTTGAGTTAATTTGACCTTTGCATGCGTTCTTCGACTTTGGTTTTTAGGGTTCTTGTTGTTCTTCATGTGGTAAAGAAAAATGCCATAAATTTGTAGAGCATCTTTCTGCTTAGATCTGTGTGATTGGCTTTATAAAAGTTGATTTTGTTTTCAATCTTGAATATGGGTATCTTTATTTTTATATATTGCCATTGGATTTGATTTGGGGCTAGTTTAGTTGATTAGAAAAAGGGTGCAGATTAAGCAAAAAGTTCATCTGATTTTGCTGCTGAAAGTTTTGATTCAAGGGTAGGGAAGATGAGGTCAATTGAGGATAAGGGTTGTTTGAATCATGTGTCAATTCAGGAGACTTCTGGTGGTGGTGCGAACCGTGGCTGTTCGCAGCACCACCACCGGACGGCTCTCGGCAAACCGACACCGTCGAAATGGGACGATGCCCAGAAATGGTTAGTCAAGTTATCTAGAGGTGGAGAAAAGACCCACTGGAATACCGAGCCACGAAACTCGAATGCGGACGATAGGAGATTGATAGCATCGGCTTCTCAGAAAGAACACCCGAGTAGCGAAGAGGATTGTCGGGATGGAAGTATGGTGAATTATGGCGGAATCGAAACGAAGAAAGTGGATTGTGACGATTCGGCGTGGAGATCTAGTGATCATTCTGGTTCGATTGTTAGATCGATTTGCGTTAGGGATATGGGAACCGAAATGACCCCAATGGCTAGCCATGAGCCATCAAGAACGGCTACACCGGTTAGAGCCACAACCCCTGCTGCACGTAGTCCTATTGCCTCCGGTTCCTCAACTCCGGTTAGACCGTGCCCGAATGGTGGACACACCGTTGATGCTGGTGGAACCACGAGATTCGGTCGAGAACGGGTGGAACTTAATGGTGAAAACGTGCCGGAAAACAAAACGTTAGATCAAGATGTTAAGTTAAACCCGCTTGAAACCCGAGCGGTGGCTTGGGATGATGCGGAACGCGCAAAATACATGGCAAGGTGATAGCTTTATCTCGATCCGCTTACAAAATCCCTATTTATTCATGTTCGTATAAGCTAGGGGTGATCATCTAAACCAGCAAACCGCCCACACCACACCGCAAAACACGGTTTAGAACTTTCGCGGTCCAGTTTGTGGTTTTGAGTCATCAAACCACGTCAAACCACGGTTCAAACCGCACTTTGCACCACATATTTTTTATATTTTTTAAAATATATATATTTTTTAGTTTTTCTGTTAAGTTTTTATGTTACAAATTCCTTATTTGAATTATTTTTATCTGTCTTTTGTCAAACATTGTGGTCGAAATTATTTTTAAGTTAAGTTTTAAAATATATTTGAATTACTTACCGAACTATTTCGTTCGCAGTACACCTTTTTAATTACACATTTCCTACGTATCTGAAGTTTTTATTGTATGATAATTTATTTTGAAGTTGTGATTTTATAATTATTCGATTGAAGTGCGTTAGGTTCAAGCCGCTCCAGTGCGATTTTTTGCGGTTTACAGTTTGACCCCAAATCGCACCGAGAACACCCCTGATATAAATCATTTAACGTCGAACCACGTTACCATTTTTGTGTTGTGGATCGATAGGTACAAGCGTGAAGAAGTGAAGATACAAGCATGGGAGAATCACGAAAAGAGGAAAGCCGAAATGGAAATGAAAAGAATGGAGGTAACGATCTGATCTTTTGACTCACCCGAATGATATAACATGCACGGTTGACGAATCGTAGTTTTTTGTGAAATCTTGATTTAGGTGAAGGCGGAAAGATTGAAATCTCGAGCACAAGAGAAGTATACGAACAAACTTGCGTCGACTCGGAGGATAGCGGAAGAAAAACGAGCGAAAGCCGAGGTGAATTTGAATGAACAGGCTGGGAAAACGTCTGAACGAGCAGATTACATAAGAAGAACAGGGCATTTGCCTTCTTCTTTCTCCATTAAGCTGCCTTCTTGTTGCTGGTAGCACTACCATTTTCCATTAAGTCCTGTACGGATAAAACGTTATGTATTAGTAATTCAGTATTTGTAGTTGTAACAATTACTTCGTTATAGTTGTAACCAATTTGTAGTTTCCTTTATAATTCGATATTTCTGAACTACTTTTTGCTTCATCGATTTTGGTAGATTTAGGGGTTGTTTGGTTAGTTTTTCATTAAGTACTGTGTAGTCTGTGTGGATTAATATGTTCGTATAGATTGGAAAAGTTTTTGTTTTGATGGTTTTTTCATAGATGAAAAGAGCGTTTTTCTAATTGGAAGAGACACGTTTGAAAGAAAAAACCTGGTTTCTGCATAAAGTTCTCCTTATAAGTTTACTGAATAAGTCATTTTTATATTATTAAGACATTACCAAACAATCATGTATAGCTGATTGAATAAATTGTGGGTCTCAGTAAGCTCGGTAATGTCTGTTGGGTTAAGTGCTTACCAATAAGGTTCAACACTATCACTTATCTTACCGGGTAACATTTTTAGTCAATCAAAACAACATCGTGTGTAACGATTTGCCCTGTAAGCGCTAACTAGTAAGAGTCATCACTTTTACTATGCGGTAAGACTCTTCGGTCCTTGCCATTGATCTTACCGGATGATTATTGGTCCTTGACATGTTAATCTGATAGGAACGTTAAGATTGCGGGCATTTGGGAGATCCATCTCGTTACCTCCCAACCGGACACATGCTAAAAATGCAATATTATAATTGACAAATGGTTAGATATATCTGGACATAAAGGTCAGATTTAGGGGAAAACGGTAAGAAATGAAAAACCGAAGAATACCTTAATGACCATTCTTTTGTGTGGTATGTACATGTGTATACAAGTAATTTGTTGGGTATGCACATGTGCATAACAAGCACATGTACAAGTAATTTTCCTGATTTCTATGCATGTGTCATATTATACACATGTACATACCGTACGGATACATGGTTATTAAAGTTTTTTTTTTTTTTTTGGAGTTTTCCCTTTGTTAACTATAATAAACTAATTAAAAAAAAAACAAAAAGGTTGAGAACTAAATGATAAGAAAGTATCGATGTTAAAAATAAAAACAACATAAAAACTCAAGAGTTGCTTACCAAACATCTACAGTTAATAGCTATAATTTTCATTTATTTTGCCGGGGAATACTCTTGTCCATTGTGATAAATAATTAATAAACGTCTTTTGTCGGGTAAACACTTACTTGGTAAAAGTGTTATTCCTCAATTACCGAGTAAAATTATCAGTCTTTGCTGTACCTGTTAGCTAGTTGCCAGATAAAATTATCTGTTTTTACCATGCTCGCCCAATAAGATAAATGGCACCAGGTAAATATTCACTGAGTAAACATTTGATAAACAACGTCTTATGTTTGTTTAGATAAAAGAAATATTAAGATTAAAGCTGCGCATGAGTTGGGTTGACCGGGTTGAAGGCGTTTTAACAACCCAACCAAATATTTGCGGTTTGAAAAATCTCAATCCAAACAAAATTACAACCCAAACCAAACCATACGGTTTGGGTTGGGTTGGGTTGGTCGGGTTAAGTTTTTTGGTAAATCATTTTACAAACTAGCCAAGTGTTTGTGTTTAAACAAAGTAAAATCAAGATGATAACATCCAAAAAAGACTTGCAAATTAAAATAAAATAAAATTGAAGGTTCATGCAAATTATACGGTAAAATTACAGTTCAAATTGTGATATAATTTTAAATATAACTAATTATGTATTGATTTAATGCCTAATATACATATGTTAATCAAAGACTTAAGAAATATATTAAATCGACATTATAGGAGGTCATCAGGTTGTGTTTGGTTCAAATGATCCCAACACAATTCCAACCCAATAGATGCGGGTTGGTTTAATTTTGTATCAACTATGTGTCGGGTAATTTAAAGTTTAGATTTTTTTGGTTTCTTTGGGTTGGGTTGATCGGTATTTTGAGCATATTAATTAAGAGGTTGTTTGGAAGTTGCTGAATGGTTTGATGGAAAATGATTAAGAGACTCTCATGATATATTGCAAAATGAAATATAATTGTTTGGTAATTGTTTACAATGAAATTAGGACGCTTAATGGTTAAGGGAGGCTCATGATATAAAATCATTCAGAGGGTTTTGGAACCATTAAGAGACAATTTTTTTTTTTTTAGCCAAATAAGATTCACTTCTTAAAAATTCAGAGACTGCCTCTTAATAAAACTATTAAGAAATAAACAAACAACCCAAAAATATATAAATTTGATATCATATAAGACCTGACTGTTTTCATGAGACCCCTATTACCACACGGTCTCATGTGAATCTACCCTAATAGAGAAATTTTAAACCTTATAAATGAAATGGAAAAAGGCATTTGGTGAATAATAGAATTCGAGAGGGATATAAATTGGAAAAAATGAAACATAAGGGGGAAAAGTGAAAAATAATTTAAAAAAATCTTTTGGGCATTTTACGCGTATACAGGAGGGATCCCATTCTACGTCGTCATCAATATCTTCGAAGGTTTTCATATCTTTTTTTTACTATCTCAAATCTCTGTAGAACCACCGAGCCCCGCCGCCAATTGTACAACAGACGGTGCCGCCGGTAAGCGCCTTACGATATTGTAAACTCTATCTCTCACACGAGACACAAGGAAACGAACTACTGGATGGGTAGAAGCTTCTAGGTTTCGTTTGTTATTTCCCTCCTTTTTAATCATATTTTTCCATTTCTAGGGTTTCATAATTGATTCAAATTGGTAAAGTTGAGGTACTTGATTCGATTATGCATTGATTTTTATCGTATTTGTTCGATCTGTGTATTATTGTTTTCCGATCTGTTCCTGTTGACCTAGAATTACGTATAGTTCCGTGTTCGTTTCAAAAAAGTAAAAAGCTTGGGGATATTTAAGTTTCTAGTGTTAGGGTTTAGAGGGGTGAATTTTGGTTTTATTTTGCATATGAACAAGTATATGGCGGCAGGAAGACATGGAGGGTACCGTGATAATGAATTTAGGGAGCGTGAATCTGATTTAGATGTGTCTAAGAGGGAATTTTCTTATTCTAAAGGGGAATATGACCGTGTAAGAAATGGTGGTAACGGGGCTTATGAGAGGGGTAAGAATCGGGCCCGTGATAGCAGAGGCGGGGGTAGGCTTAGGCAGAAGGACATTAAAGAAAGGGAGTTGGTGAACGGTGGGGGTTATCGTTCTGCTTCTAGCAGGAGTTATTCAGGAGGAAGTGGTGAAGGTGGAGATTCAAGGCACGGTGATTATCACCTCAGAGTGGGAGATCGAGAACCTGGGGAGCTGTCTAGTGAGAGTGGGTCTGATGAAGCTGTTGATTCAGAAATACATGGTAAGAGCAATGAGGGTTCTAAGATGGATAACAGTTCCCAGTCTTCTTTATATAGCAAGAAGAGGAAGTTCTCACCTATTGTTTGGGATAGAGATGACAAGGAAGCTGGTAATTCATCTATGACTAGATCTTCCCCAGCAAATACTACTCTACCTCCTCCACCTCCAGTGCCTAAATCTCACCGTCGATCACCTAACTTTGTTCCTGCAGCTGTTGTACAAAATTTCCCTGTAGAAAGCAACAAGCTTCATAGTGCACATCAGTCTCCAGGTAATACTCCAATTGATATTGGGAAGCATGATTCTTCTGGATTTGAAACCCATGTTGGTCTATCTTCTTCCCCTGTCCAGGAAGAACATGTAGGCTTATCTTCTTCTCCTGCCCAGGAAGAGCATGCTGTGTACATTCAGGATGTAGTACAACCAGAAGACGTCGATTATCTGCCCACACGGACTATAAGATCCTCTCGGTGGGCAAATGATGCCAATTCTCCAGCTGATGAAGGTGAACTTTCTGATGCCTCAGGTGATAACAGGATCCAGCAGAGGACTGGGTCGGTTGAGATTAGATTACAGAAGCAGTCATCCAGTCCAGAGGTTGAGGAGCATCATCAAGAAGGTACTGAAGTAATTAGAGGACGATCATCTGATTCCAATGAAGGTGGTTACCGTGTTAGGTCTTCAAGTGTGGAGGATTTTCCTGACAATGATTTAGGAAGGAAGGACTACATGGAGATCGACAATGAACACAAAAAAGATGGTGCTAGTCTAAGCCTATCAGAATCTGATTCAGAGAATGGAGATGGCTCTCCAGGTACACCAGAGCCTGCTGGCCCTCCTCAAAGATGTTTTAATATGCTGCAAGGTTGTAGAAGTGTTGACGAGTTTGAGAGATTGAACAAGATAGATGAAGGCACTTATGGTGTTGTTTATAGGGCCAAAGATAAAAAAACAGGAGAAATTGTTGCTTTAAAAAAGGTCAAGATGGAGAAAGAAAGAGAAGGATTTCCTTTGACTTCTCTAAGGGAAATAAATATTCTTCTTTCGTTTCATCACCCATCCATTGTGGATGTGAAGGAAGTGGTAGTTGGGAGCAATCTTGACAGCATTTTTATGGTAATGGAATACATGGAACATGATCTTAAGGCATTGATGGAGACGATGAAACAACCTTTCAGTCAGAGTGAAGTTAAATGTCTTATGCTCCAGCTATTGGAGGGAACAAAATACCTCCATGACAATTGGGTTCTTCACCGAGATTTGAAAACTTCAAATTTGCTTTTGAATAATCGTGGTGAGTTGAAGATTTGTGATTTTGGATTGGCTCGTCAATATGGGAGTCCTCTAAAACCATACACTCATTTGGTGGTGACTCTTTGGTACAGGTGAGCAGCAGTACATGGGTAATTTTTCACCTCTTTAGGATAAATGCCAATTTGTCTATGTTACTCCATTATTGTACCATTCCTTACCATCTTCATGAAACATTTTCATGTTTTGAAACTATACGGATTGGTATGTATTCTGATGGATTTTGACTAATGCTTTTATACCAAGATGTATTTGCTTTTCTGTTTTTATTGCAATTTTCATGATCACATTTGTACAAAAAGTCTTCGCTATTTCGTGTTCTGAATTAGATGGTATAATTGATATTTGGCATATCCTGATGTAACAGTGCATGATATGCTGGCATGGTTTTTGTAATAATCATTTGAGGTGGTTGGTCCTATCTCCCATGTTTGCTGCTAAGATCTTAATTGGTGTTTAACACTTTCACAGGGCACCGGAACTTCTGCTGGGAGCAAAAGAATATTCTACTGCAATTGATATGTGGTCGTTGGGTTGTATCATGGCTGAACTGTTATCTAAGCAACCACTGTTCAATGGGAAAACAGAGTTTGATCAGCTTGACAAGGTAACTTGACAGTATACAGCTTGTGATTCATATTTATAGAATGTCGGCACAAACTTTTTTCCTGATAGTAGCACAGATCTATTTTATTGTACGTTCTTATTACTTCTGCCTTGACAGTCTTTGGTGACTCTTATCATTGCAGATATTTAAAACCCTTGGCACTCCAAATGAGACTATTTGGCCTGGGTACTCTAAACTTCCAGGAGTCAAGGTGAACTTCGTCAAGCATCAGTAAGTGGCCACTTTCTTGAATTGAGTATATCTTATGTCAAATTCAGTGTTCATATTTTCTTATTTTTGTCACTGTTTTCCCAGGCGTCCAGCTTTGGGTGATTTTCTGGTCTGGCTTTCTAGCTTCCGTTGGTGACAGATTAAGTTATTTTTTAAATACTCTTTAGTTTTATGGACCACTTTGTATTTTTCTCAGGTATAATTTATTGCGGAGAAAATTCCCGGCGACATCTTTCACTGGATCACCTGTTTTGTCTGATGCTGGGTTTGATTTGCTGAACAAACTTATAACCTATGACCCTAAGAAGGTTTGTTTTGTAATCGAATGACCATATGTGGTTATAAAGCTTTATTGCTATTTGTCATCATGACATGTTGATTATTCGATTTACTAAAAGGAATTCCGGAATACATGCAGCGTATAACTGCTGAAGAAGCTCTCAACCATGAGTGGTTCCGTGAAGTGCCTCTTCCGAAGTCTAAAGATTTTATGCCCACATTCCCTGCTCAGCATGCCCAGGACAGGTATTTTTACTGTAGATTTCAGAAAGTTGATGTATAATTGAGCCTCATGTTCTGGAATTTTAAGAAGGGATTTGTTTTTTGGTCACCTGTTTCCATACTTCAGGCGTACACGGAGGGTAATGAAAAGTCCTGATCCTTTAGAGGAGCAGCGTCGAAAGGAGCTGCAGCAAGCTGAATTTGGGACAGGTGGTTTATTTGGCTAGGATGATGGGTGTGGCAGAACTTTGTTATCTCTGATTTTGTTTTTATGCTGTACCCACAAAGTGACATTGTCGAGGTGAGGGCCCATGTACTGATGGAAATGGTAACATTGGTTTTGAGATGATCATCCATGCTGTTTTTTAGCAGGCACCCTTTATCATCTGGGTGGGGAGATGAGATGTCTTCTGCTTGCTCTCAACTCTATGCATAACAGGTTGACTTCTTTGTACAAGGTCTGGCCAATGGCCTTACTTTTTAGTGGAAGGTTCTTTTGGAACTTGTATGTAACATATTTTTAGTTGGCTCACTGTAAACAATTTATGGAATTGGATTTAAGGCCATACAAGTATGGGGTTTTTCTTATATTGTATTTTATCTATTCTTAATCTTCGTATTGTGTTTGCAAGAGGTGGTTGGTGTAGCATGGAGGTGGAGTTCTTAGCTTTTCATTGACGGAGTATTTTTTCAGAAAATGTGCAATTTCAAGGTAATATGTCCTAATAACATGGAGTGCTGTAAAGGATCACTGTTTTCCTTTCCATCTATGTTGAACTCTACCCACTTCCAGTGTGATATCGGCACACTATAATTTTGCTGTATGGACATACCTTCTGCCTCACTGTTGCCTCTTGCCAACACATATTCTTGCTTGAGAAGCGGCAAATGAGTTTCAAAATTTGGTGTTGGCTACTGTTTTCGAGTATTTTTCTACTACCTGGGTGGTGTACATTTTTGGGGAAAATTATAGTCCTTTTATCTTCAGAAGCCAAGCCGGCTTTTATTTTGAGCTTAGCATGTATGTTTAATCCCATCATTTGGTAGTGAATTTGTAATTGTATTTGATGGGGTTGGACTCTTGAGACGATGGGCGTCTTGTCGCACTTGTATTGCCTTCTTTAGTGCTTCTGCATATAAAAAGAAGCTCACTCACTTGCTTGTACAATCTTTGAGTGTTTTAAACTCCTTGCACATCTACTAATCTTCAGGATTCATTATTTTCACGATTTTGATGGTGTCTTCCTTTGTTGATGTGGCCTCTTCTGTAGGCGGTCTTTGAGGGGGTTAAGATTTGATCTTTCTTCAGAAATTCAATTAGTAGGGAAAATCAGATGTTTGCATCTCATGTACAATTTGTGAATATCTAAACTCTGCCCGCTTCGTATTCCTGATTATTGATCACATGCCTCTATGAAGAATTTAGTGTCATGGTCAAACGTGTACTTGATAAGAAATTAGTATTATGGTTTATCAATGAATGATGTAAATGTATCACAGATCTGCTTTATCGATTTGTTGTATGCTTTTGAACTTTTATGGTGCGGAAGATTGAAGGTTTTTTTCCCTGTATTTCTATGACATCTATCTGCAAATGTGACTGCAGTATGAAAGCAAGCAGGTTGTGGAGGTCACCCTATGCAGTTTGGAACTTTTAAATTTTTCGTGTATTTTCCGTTCTTCAGGTATTCTTTGTCCCTTAAGCCTCATCATTGTAACTTCCCATTTCTATACTTCAAACATTAATTCTCTACCATATTAAAGGTTTCTTTACTTCCATTATTAAGAACTCATTATTCCTCCTTGTGCCTGAAACATTGGTTTATGTTTATCTTAATCAAAGGAAAATATGTCTGTTATATTGAAGTTCCTTTATCTTTCTGAGCCGAGCACTTTTATTTTGGGAACTCATTATTCATCCTTGTATCTGAAGCATGGGTGATTGGTCTGCCTTAATTAGGGGAAATCTATGAAGGGGTTAGATTTTAAAGGAAACTTGTCTGTTGATCCTCTATGCGGGAGATGTTTTCCTAGTTTAATATGACATATGTCTAAGGTTGACATACAGCAATATATCTGTTGCAACGTTTTTCGATTGATATATGGTTGCTACTCATAGCTTTTTGGCAATTGATTCTTAGGTTGCAAAGTCTCTTCATTACCGCCTTTCCCTGGTATTTTTACAATTTGGAAAATTTACACTGGCCCTTTCAAACTATATAATAAACAAGTTTTTTTTTCAAATGGATCCAGCTTTTATACAGTCATTGTCATCGAGCCCATAAAAAAATGAATTGGTTATGGTTAATAGATTAAGGTTTTTTATGGTATATGAAATGGGGGATAATCAATCTAATATTTATATAATTCAACATGAGCAATAAGACTAAAGTCAACGTCGAAGTCTCTTGGGGTACATATTACAGTTGAGGTCTACACTTCTTGCCCTATTGAATCTAGAACTATGTTGTCACTTGAGGACCCTAGGATTTTTATTATATAGGGTACAGCATAATTTTATGTATAAAGTTCCATTGTGGTTATCTATCAAATGGCATGTTAAGACGTTAGATGGGTCACGTGTGGTTGTGATTATTACTCTGACTATTTCGAGCATCTCCAAAATGGAGAAAATAGAGATTTTAAAGTTTTTCTTGCCTTCTCTTATCCAACCGAATCTCCAAAATGGAGAAAAAAATGAGAGGAGAAAAAGTTCTCCATATTTGGAGGTGAGAGAAGGTATCTACAAAATTTTGGATGAGAGAGATGATGCATGAATTGTTTTCTATTTATTTTGGAGAAGCGAGAAGAGAGAACATAAAATTATTATTTTATAAGAAGTGTGTCTGAAAATTTGTTGGGTTATTAACCTATGCTGTTAGTTGTGCCGCTATAGTGGTAGTGATGGTATGGCGGTTCGCGGTCGTTGGGAGTATACCGGTGCCGCAAATTTCAGTTGCAATGGCGTTGTAATTCTGCTATCTTTTTTGTGCTTGATTTTTTACTTGGGCTCAAATTGTGGGGATCTTTTATTTGCAGCCTCGAGCTCTTTTAGGTTTAGGTTTAAGATTTATGAAGTTCATGACTTCTGAGTTCCAAGGTTTCTCTACGATATTTTGAGCTTTTGGGGATTTAATTATTAGGGCATATTTAGCTGCTGAAACATACAAATTAATATGCAATTTCAATAACTACTGGATGGACTTTTGACTAAATTATATATAATACTAATTATTATATGAACGCCATTTTTGGGATCTATACCATCGAGATAGCCGCTATTTCAAATCACAGTGGCGACTGCAATTTCAAAATAAAGAAACTGTGGGGGTTGAATGTAAATCTTTGGAGATTTTATCATCTCGCCCTCTATTTTGAAGAAATTATGGAGAAACTGTTGGAAATACTCTTAGTAACACCTTATTCACAGTGATCCGTGAACCCATTTTGGATTTAGTCATGTTATGCTATTCTGCTTGTTTGAGACATCAAGACTTGTCTCTGTATTTTGGTAATATATTTAATGCATTAACGTAGCTGGAGAAGAAGCAACACCTGCTAGTACCAATGAAACCAGCTAGAAAACTTGCAGTTGTATTTTCTTTTATATCTTCTTTTCTAAATGAACTCGAAATTTCGATTTGTCATGGGATATTGTTATCCTGATTATTTCTTTATAGTGTCCTGGCATCCTAGCTAATAGCTATTCAAACTTATTCCCCTCCTAATCCTCATTTGTAAGACTGAGGCTTAAGTGTTGGGTTTCTCCTATAGGCGAAGAAGTCTGCAGTTCTCTCTTCTGTTCCTCGAATTTGAGATTTTTAAGATGTGGTGTTTTATTCTTGATAAAAGTTGATAATACTTATTTCATCCGTTAGATGCATGGTATTACTGAGGGGTCATTTACCAAACGCTTACCGGCTGTACTTATTTCATCAGTCGGCTCTTACCGGCTGTACTTACCTTACCTTACCGAGTGGGCATGGCAAGGACCGAGTCTTACCTGGTGAGGAAAAGGCTTTTACCCAGTAAGCGCTTACTAGGTAAAAGACTTGCCAACAATCTATTTTGATGGCCCAAAATGTTACCCGATAAGGTAAGTGAGGGTGGTGACTCTTGTCACTAAGTGCCTATCGGGTAAGCGTTTATCGGGTAAAAAATGCTTACCATCAACCCGTTTTGATGGTCTAGAACCTTACCTGATTAGGTAAGTGAGGGTGGGGACTCTCGTTGCTGAACGCCTACCCGGTAAGTGTTTACTGGGTAAAAGACACTTGCCGCCAATCCATTTTGATGGCCGAGAACCTTACCCTGTAAGGTACGTGAGGGTGGATACTCTTGCCGCTAAGCGCTTACCCGGTAAGAGTTTGGTAAACATCCCCTTAGGTTCATTTTGATGCTGTTTGTGCAAGAATCATCAAGATATTCGTGTGTTTATGAGTTGATCTCTCCACTTATCCCCCAAGTTATTCATGGAACAGGCAGGATTCTTATATAAAAGAAACCGAGGCAGGCATGTGGTTTTAACCATTTTGTATTTGAATCTATTATATATAGCCTTGCGAAGCCTGCCATTAATCTTTTCAATTATGCCAAGCGTTTCTGCCATTGCACTTTTGCCGACTCATCAAGCATGACGCTTTACTTTCCCCTGGTTGTGGTGGGTTCGAGTACCTTTTCTCCTTCGCTGAGCTCCAGGTTTTGGTACCCGTCTCTCTAGTTTGATTTTTATTGTGTTTTTGCTCTCTTGCTATCCCTTACCCACCGTTATCAATGTACTGTTTCTCGGTTAGTGCTCCTTATTGGTCGATAGCAACGCATTCTGGGAAAAAAAGCATTGGTTTTGGATCTACTCATACATGTGTAGCCATTTTGATTTTTGTGATCTTTGGCTATTATCATGGGTCAGGATGAAAACAGAGATCTGGTTTTGCCGAACCCTTAAAGAACCACACGGTTCATCAAACTTTGTGCAGTTTCCTTGTTTGTTCATCGTCTATTTCATTCGATCGTATTTGTTTTTTATGGACAGAAATATCGTTGGTTGCGTCACAAAATATGTAATTGACATCCAAATATGAATGCTGTGTCTGTATTCTACAAGATTGAGTTGGTTCATGTTTTGATATTATACAGGTTGTTAGGAAATGGTAGGATCGATGGCTGATTCTTACTTTAAGTATATATTATAGCAATCGCGCTTGAAGTATAACTGAAAGGAGTGAAACAAAGTGTCGCTTAAGGAAACATGGGTATTGAAAATCTTAAAAATCCGTAGGTTCCCAATTTTAAAAGAAAATGATGGATCCCGCCGTAGGTGCCTCTACATGAGCTTCGGGTAACCAAATATGAACTGGTACCATAGGCACATTGATGGCAAAAGAGGCGAAAAAGGCAATCCATAGGTTTGGTGTAAGTAGGGATATATCTTTTTTTTTTTGAAACATTAAATACTAATTGGCAGTAAGATACAATTTAAGAGTATTTTAAATAGCAAATTGCATGGAAAAAATAATGTACTTCTAACTTGATTTTTAAGTATCCGGGTAACAGGGTGAAGACTAGTTTTAGACTAAAAAATCTATGTCACTAACTATGTTAGCAAATGATATTAAGTTGGATACCATATAACTTGCTACATCAACATGATAACTGGTTAGTGCTTCAACTGGTTATTCGGGTATTTAAATGAACTTTACATCTTAGATTTTAAAATGAAAGTTTTGTAAGTACATTATCCAAAATAAGAATCAAGTTAAAGTACGTTATTTTTTCATACAATTTGTTTTATTTTAAAATAAAGATTTAGGAGTTTTAGACATGTTTTTGTTCCAACTGCTTCCTCAAAACTTTCTTAAAATGAGGAAAGAGAGAGAGAGATTTGTTTTTAATCAAGAAATTTTTTGAATATATATGTTTAGAGAGAGAGAATATTTTATTAGATGGATGAAATATTTTTAGTAATATAATTGATGTTGTAAGCTTAAGAATAGAGATTTTGTTGGAGTTGATTGCATTATTATTTTCGAGAGTCTGAAGTTTAATATTTTATTTTGGAGAAGAAGCAACTTGAATTGTTGCGTGTACCAGTCTCCATCAATCGATTAAGGTATTCTCGTATCATCTCTCGATTTCATTGCCGGATGGTGCAAAAGGATGACCTCGGGGGACGTTTTTGTCTTGGGACTTGATCAAGTCATTCTTGTGTGCTTGTCATCCATGATGATCTTAGTTTTGAAAAATTTGTTGGAGATGGTCTAACGAGCTTATATAAATTTTAAAATTTAGGGTTTGTAAAATAATCATATTTAAGGTTTTAATTTAGAATTATTGAATTTACAATAAAAAAATTTATACCAAAAAGATGACCCTCTATGGGTTTAAAATCACATTTATAATGTCTTGGAATGTAAACTACGACTGTATTTCATAAACAATAATTTCCCATCCATCCATGAGGATCGTTTAGTAATCTTCAAGGACTCTAGTTTCTTATGTCGTTCCAATTACGTAAACCGAAATAGTTTTCACACAATCGGTTTCGAAAGACATCTCATGCCCTCAATATAACAAATCAGAAACTACCAAAAAATAGTTGTGGCCACTGATTTTATTAGAGTTAATTTTTGCAATTTCAATTTGTCAGGATGGTCTATGACACCCTTCGGGAAAAAAACTACCAGAGAACACACCATGCCAATTTTCTTACATATAACACAAATTGTGTGGAACACACACATGTATCAGATCTAGGTTGTCGAGCTTATGTACATTTAGTGTGAAACAAAGGTTAAAAAGTCGTCCAATGTGTTTTTTTAGAAGTTTTTTTTCCTGTTTTTTGATTGTTATGGAGACCCTTTTTCAGATTTTATGGTTGATGCTTCTTAAATATCCTAAAATACCCTTTAAAATTTAACCGATACACCTTTCATACATACTTCCAAAAATGGGTTCAGCATTCATACATACTTCCAAAAATGGGTTCAGCAGATCCACAATAAGTCGCTCTATCACTTTGAAAGACTCATTAGTCATTATGGGCTTTTGACACTCTTGATTTTCACTCCACTGATTTTTTTTTTATTGAAAACGAAAAAGAAAAAGAAAATGGTGAATTCTTTGAAACTGATAGCAGTCAAAATCGTTCTTTTTTTTTTTCCTCTTTTGTGTGGCAAATGTTGATTCCAAAACTGCTCACAGATTGATGGTTATTCACTTATTTCTTTGATTTTGACGGGTAATTAATCGATCGCACCTCGCCGGAGCTCTCAGATTTTCCGGCGATAATGGCGATTTCCGATCCTTATTCATCAGTCAATCCAAACAATGGTTTTTGCTCTAAAACTTATATCTACCATAGCCTTAGACCTCCATATCCTCTACCTTCACAATCTTCCCCTTTCTCCGTAACTGGTTTCATCTTCTCGCTTCTCCAAACCACCGTCACACCAACTGCATCGCTCATTGACGCCACCACCCGCCGCCGGATCCTACATTCCGACCTCCAACTTCTTGTCCGCAACCTCTCCTTCTCCCTCCGCCAACCGCCATTGTCTCTCTCCCATGGAGATTGTGCTTTCGTTATTTCCCCTAATTCATCTCATCTTCCGATTCTCTACCTTTCACTCTTCTCCATTGGTGTTGTTGTTTCGCCTTCAAATCCTGTTAGCTCCGTTCAAGAGATTTCCCGCCAAATCGAACTCAGTAAACCGGTGGTCGCTTTCGCGACTGTGGAATCGATTCAGAAGCTGTTAGAAGCCGGATCTAGTAATCCGGTTGTGTTAATTGGATCGAGTGAGTTTGAATCGATGATGAGAGATGGTCAATCGAATGGAGGTGATCTAAAATTGAAATTTGGCAGTATGATACGGCGGCGATTTTGTATTCCTCGGGGACTACGGGGAAGGACGGGGAAGGTGAAGGGAGTGAAATTGACTCACAGGAATTTGATTTCAGCGATCGCCGGAGCAGTTTCCGGACGTCAAACAACGTTGTCTCGGGAGGTATATCTCTGCACGGTGCCGTATTTCCATATCTATGGCTTCACGTTATGCCTTAGGATGGTGGCGTTTGGGGTGAGTATCGTGTCGATAGCAAAGTTCGATCTGCGATTGATGCTGAGATCGATTGAGGAGTTCAGCGTTAGTCATCTAGCGGTGGCGCCGCCGGTGGTGGTGGCTTTGGTGGACGGAAACAATGATGATTTGGTAGAAGGAAGTAACTGGAGTTCTCTGGAAACCGTTAGTAGCGGTGGAGCGCCGCTTACGGTTGCCGTGATCAACAAGTTCAAGAGACCATTTATATTACGAAATTACACATTTGGGTTGATTTTTTTTTGCCTTTTAGCTAATATTGCGGACGTGTATATTACGAAAGTAGTGACATTTGGATAAACACATGAGAGAAATGGTTAGAAGATCAATTTGAACGTAGAAAATGTTTATTTAAAATGCTATTTGTATATTAAAAAAAAATTAATTGAAGTTTTATGTCCAATATTGAATGACCCCGTGTTTGGTTGGCAGAATAAAATCTATTAAAATTGAAATCCATCGAAAGAATTGGGGTTTAAAGTAATTGGAATGGGATTCAATTAGTGCTGGATTTAGAAATCTTCTTCAACAGATATATCTTTAAGGTGGATCAGAGGTCCGCAAAGTCATGGGTTTGATCGAAGAGAAAATTCGACATGTTTTGACCTAAGGGAAAGTCAATTATGTCGAATTCCACTGTTACAAGTAATTTTTTTTTTTTGTTTTTTGGTTGATTTCATAAAATTTTGAATTTTTAGTATTTGATATTGACTAACCTCTGTTTTTGTGTCGGTTTTCCATTTCGTTTCTTTATACATATAGAACTCCCGTCATTAAATAAGATGTTTTGTATGTAAATCAAAATTAAATGTGCATCTAGGATTTCCAGTAACAATATCAAATCAATAACTAAAAACAAATTTGCTTTAGGGGATTGTGAAAGCGATTTAGGATGGAAAGGGAGAAAGTCGTTCTCTCAAAGAAAGAAGTGGAAATTCACGAGAAAGAAATCACAACGAGGAAAAACCACTTAGACATGATTACAGTAACAACATAAGTTATCGAGTTTCCAGTTTTAAACCAGAAAAAATAAATATCTGCTGTAAATAAGCATTTGACTCAAAACATCTTATATAGAGAGATTTAACTTAGCCAACTCAGACCACTCCCACAAAGTCTAGATTCATGTTAGAAACTTGGTTTTTTTTTATAAATATTTCAGGTCACACTTAAAATCAAGCGGGTGTACCTTCAAGACGTCTAATTTTTTTCTTTTGTGATGCTCCGACCTCAGTAGGTACCCTTAAATTTAATGGAATTTGACCATGCGTCTGGTTTAGAACGAAATATGGTAAAATTAGAATCCATATTAAGAAATGGAATCTGAAAGGACCCTTATGAAATTCAATGAAGTTTGACCATGCATTTGGTATTTTAGTTGATATTAATTGAAATGAAATGTTTTAAAAGAATTGAAATGAACATATTTTGGTCCGCAACATAGCGTTTCAGTACTAGAATGAAACAATAATAAATGACGAAAACAAGTTTTTACGAATTGCTTTTATTTTCTCGCTTGATTAAATATAATATAATATAATGATAATATTAATTATTATTACATCGACAACAATGGTAATGAGTGTTGATCATGTATATATTATTATATTTGGAAAATGGTAGTAAACCGAATTGAGTAACGTGAATAATTGAATTCCATTTCATATGCAAACTAAACAATCGAATGAAATTTGGTCAAGTAAATTTGGCTATTCCAATTCTTCAAGTTTCATAGGAGTCATGTGAACCAAAAGTTCACTCAAAAGAACGATAGTCGATATGAAATAGTGTCGATCACTAATCGTTGCAAATTATATGGTATTTTTTGGTATCTAACGGTTAATGTTTGTCAGTCGTATGGATTGACCGAGACAACCGGCGGAGTCTCATGAGTTATAGGCCCATATGAGAACACAAAGATCGGCAGCGTAGGGCGACTCGTATCCCATTGTGAAGCAAAGATAATTAATCCCGAAACCGGGGTTGGTTTGGCTCCTGGGAACCCAGGTGAACTATGGATCAGAGGTCCATTCGTTATGAAAGGTAAAAGATATATATATATATATATATTGACAGAGGTTCAAACGAGAATACTTTTATTTTACGATAAAAATAATCTTGTTGATCAAAATCATCGATAAAAGTAAAATTGTTGCCATTTAAATTATTGTGATTAGGGTATGTTGATGATAAAGAAGTTACGGATACAACGGTGGACTCGAATGGATGGTTGAAAACCAGCGATCTTTGTTACTTTGATAATGAAGGTTTCTTATTTGTGGTGGATCGGTTAAAAGAATTGATCAAATATAAAGGTTATCAGGTACGTAACTACTCGTTTCAAACGTTATCAGGTACGTTACTCGTGAATGGTGTATTACTATTAGATCTTCGTCAATAGGTACCACCAGTCGAATTGGAACACATTTTGCATTTGCATCCCGACATTATTGAAGCAGCGGTGATTCCGTATGCATTTCTCGATCCCCCTAACGAACACGAAACATAAAAAACTAAAGATTTTGATATGTAAAAATGGTGATTTTGGTTGTAGGTTTCCAGATGAGGAGGCAGGGGAAGTACCAATAGGTTTTCTTTTATTTGAAACAACTTATGGTTTCCAATAAAAGTTTTCATTAACTTATTATAAGTTAGAATGATTTAACTTCTTCAAAAACCTCTTGTTACCGGTTTGGTACTAGTATAAGTTGTTTATCCAAACACTCGAAAGTGCTTATTACCGGTGTCACACCGGAATAAGTCAATAAGTTATTTTTATAAGCAATATCAAACACCTCCCTAAGTATATACTATTGCAAATATTTAGGTAGATTTGGTTTGAACTATTTAAATCATCCACGTCCTTGTAGTTCATTTATGCTTTTAATTATGTCACGTCAGCTTTTATAACTATCACACTTTCAAAAGTGGTTTCCACTAGGACCACTGCAACATTTATTGAATACTTTATAAATTATCATATACATTCTAATTATCTTTTAATAAATACACGAAATATACTTTTTATTTTTATTCAATTTTTTAATAAATACATAATATAATAGTATATTATAATCTTTTTATTTATTTTATAATTCATTGTTTTAATTTAATATATATACTTTATTAAATTAAATTAAAACACAACTTTTATTGAATTAAAAAAACTATATATAGAAAAAAAAAATTACGTTAATCATTATTTTCTCATTCTTCAAATCGGCTCCAAATCTCTTCAATAAAAAAAATTACATTAATCACACGTATTAGATTAGATTATATGTAATTTTACCAATATTATATTGTTTTAATACATATAATTTTAATTTTAGGTGATGATAAAATTTAATGTTTAAATTAATTTAACTATATTAATTAAACATATTTATTATAATTGTATTTATATTTTATTTAAAATATATGTTTTATATAAAAACTTAGTTTATTTAAATTATTAAAATAAAAGAAATTGGAAAGTGATACCGACATGACTTGCGACAATTGCAATTGACAATCCTAAATGAAAGTAAAAGTAAAATGCAATTAAAAGTAAAAGTATTATTACCATACGATGTGTGTAGATAACTCTTAGCTCTAAAAAAACAACTCAACTTAACATGATTGGCCCTATTGTAACCGATCTCGTTTCTTTAACCGAAGCTGGCCATGTCTAGGTTGCACCGTATAAGAAACTAAGAAGAGTCTGATTCGTGGATTCAATTCCGAAAAATGCTCCAGGAAAAATACTGAGGAAAGAGTTGATCAAACTGGCCCTCTCATATCTTACTTCTAAGCTATAGTTCATTCATACAATCTTCTTGTGTCCCATAAAAGGTAAAATTTATATAACTCATAAAACGTAAGAAAACAAACAATGTTTCTTACTTTGATATTATGATTTCCTTAATTAGTACTTGATAATTTTTTTATTAACCTGTATATCTAACCCGCTACGTGAGCCGACTAATGCCAGAACGATCACCCGTTTCGCGTGTAGCACGAAGTCACCGTATTTTAACCTCTGTGGCCACAAAGAGATTTTTATTTCTCATTGGATTCGAGCTTAGGACCTTCAGACACTTTTAACATTTGGAGCACAAGGTTAAACCAATCGATTTTACATGATACTTATAAAAGATAGTAAATCTTAATTTTGACAAAAACAATCCATTGTTAATAACGACCAATTTGGATATTTATTAAAACTAATCTCAATTATTTCATTAAAAACATGGATATTCTTTGTATTATAGTATACTCCACTACTATTTTAATTCAAAAATTAAAATACTAAATATAGTAATAAAAGTGAATTACATTTTACATCCTTGTGATTTCTAGTTTTAACAAATTGGGTTTGACTTTTGAAAATTAGTAAATCACACCCTGCATTTCTTTAATAAGTCGTTGACTTGGATCAAAAAATTCATTGTTTAGTTGTATCTTCAGTAAAGACCGATTATTAAACATTTATCTGGTATGTGAGTCATTGGCCTTCTAGGAGGTCAATGATTCAAATCTCACCAAAGATGAGGAGGGTGTATGATTTTATTTGTTCTATTTTGTCGTATACAAATATTATATACTTAAAAAAAAAAAACTTATCAAGTCACATTACCTTATCGGATGAATATTTGTAAGGACCAAAAATCTTATCCAGTAAAAACAAGATGAAAACCGAATTTTACTCGGTAAACAAAGGCGATGACTCTTATCACGATTAGTAGTTACCAGGTAACTTGTTGCATACGATGTCGTTTTCGTTGACTAAAATCTTACCAATAAGCGTTCGATAACGGAAAAAATAAAATTGATTTAGAAAATGATTATTTTGTCATTTTCGTACCAAAAAAGAAAGGATCATACGTCCCGTTTGCTTATAAGATTCTCCATTTGTCTCTCTCTCTCTCTCTCTCGACCACTCACTAATTCACTCTGCAACTTGAAAAGCTTCACATTAAAACGAAAATGGCGACTTCCGATTCTCCTTCGTCAATCAATCTCCAAAACGGTTTTTGCTCTAAAACTCGTATCTACCATTCCCTTAGACCTCCATCTCCTCTACCTCCACTCTCTTCCCCTTTCTCTATAACCGATTTCATCTTCTCGCATCTCCAAACCACCGTCACACCAATTGCATCGTTCATTGACGCCACCACTCGCCGCCGAATCCTTTACTCCGACCTCCAACTGCTTGTCCGAAACCTCTCCGTCTCCCTCCGCCAACCGCCATTGTCTCTCTCCCATGGAGATTGTGCTTTCGTTATTTCTCCTAATTCATCTCTTCTCCCCATTCTCTACCTTTCACTCTTATCCATCGGTGTGGCGGTTTCGCCTTCAAATCCTGTTAGCTCGGTTCTAGAAGTTTCTCGTCAGATCCGCCTCTGTAAACCGGCGGTGGCGTTCGCGACGGCGGAATCGGCTCAGAAGCTGTTAGAAGTCGGATTTACCAATCCGGTTGTGATGATTGGATCGAATGAATTTGAATCGATGATGAGAGATGAACCGAATGGAGGTAGACCTAAAACTGAAGTTTCTCAGTCCGATACGGCGGCGATTTTGTACTCGTCAGGGACTACGGGGAAGATCAAGGGAGTGAAATTAACGCACAGGAATTTGATTTCAATGATTGCCGGTGCAATCGACGGACGTCGAGCGAGGTTATCTCCGGCGGTGTACCTCTCCACGGTGCCGTTATTTCATATTTACGGCTTCGGTTTATTACTCAGGTTGGTCGCGTTTGGGGAAAGCATGGTGTCGATGAGGAGGTTCGATCTGCGGTTAATGTTGAGGTCGATTGAGGAGTTTAGCGTTACTAATCTGGCGGTGGCGCCGCCGGTGGTTGTGGCTTTGGTGGACGGAAAAAATGGCGATTTGGTTGACGGAATCAATTGGAAGTCTATAGAATCCGTCCTCTGTGGCGGAGCGCCACTTACGGTCCCTGTTATCGATAGATTCAAGAAACGATTTCCAAATGTGTCATTGTTGCAGGCATGACATTCTACTATAGTCACGTGCTTTACCTAAAAATACCTTTTTTCTTTAATCTAAAAATCGAGTTTATGTAAATGCATAGATTCGACTAAAGCGGGAATTCAAATGAAAAAATGGCTAAAAAGTTTGAAGTATATAATATTTATATACGACAAATAGAATAAATAAACTCACACACCTTTTTCACGTTTGGTGGGAGTTGAACCTTTGACCTTCTAAGAGACTAAAGACTCACATACCGCTAGGCCAAAAACCCTTTTCTTGGTTTGACATTCTGGATTTGTTTGGTATGATTTGGTTTTATTGAAATTTGACCCAATGGGTCAAAACCAACCAATGACCAATCTGACTTGTTTTTAAAACTGTCGTGTTTTAACCCGTAAATGACCGGTTTGCCACTTTGCTTGAAAATTTAGATTCGATTTTTTTTACAAATTCGAATGGTTGATAAATGAACTAACACTATAGAGCCATTATTAATGTTTGTTAGGCGTATGGAATGACCGAAACTACAGGTGGCGTCTCGAGAGTTGTAGGTCCATATGAAAGCACAATAGTAGGCACCGTTGGGCGGCTCATAGCCCATTGCGAAGCAAAGATAGTTGATCCGAATACCGGTGTTGGTTTGGCTCCAATGAACCCGGGTGAACTATGGGTCAGAGGTCCATTCGTTATGAAAGGTAAAATATACTACAAATCATATAGAAACCATCTAAAAGTCATAAGCTGTGAAAACCAGTTTCATTATTTTTTGTATTGTTTCATAAATGAAACAAGACTTGTGAAACCGGTGAAAATCAACCAAAACCAACTACTTAGTTTGATTTTAAACTATAATTCATATTGTTTTCACATGTTTTATTTTTTATGTGATTATGAACGTGTGTTTCATGTATAAACGTATTTTTCTGTTTTTTCCACACACAACATTCTTGATATTTCATCTGGGAAACAATATTGAATAAACAATGCCATGTTCATACAAGGTTTCTAGCTTTTATATGATTTGTCTTCTAGACTTGAGATTATGTGAGATCATATTGTTTTTTTTGAGACCACATAAATAACACCGAACCTTTAACACTATGAAGGTTCCGTTTTTTTGTACATTCAGAATATTTTGCTATTAAGTATGAGTGTTATTTTGTGATATCACTTGAATTCCAACCATTGTCGATTAAAATCATTGATAAAAATAGTAATTTTTTGAAATAAGGGTATGTTGACGACGAAGAAGTTATGGATACAATGGTGGAGTCGGATGGATGGTTGAGAACCGGCGATCTTTGTTACTTTGATAACGAAGGTTTCTTATTTGTCGTGGATCGGTTAAAGGAGTTAATCAAATATAGAGGTTATCAGGTATATTAATTGTCATGTTATGAACCCAACCCAAAAGTCCGTTTTTCTTTAGACATTGTTAATGGTCTATTAATGTAGGTACCGCCAGCCGAATTGGAACACATTTTGCATTTGCATCCCGACATTACTGAAGCGGCCGTGATTCCGTATGCATTTCTTGATCCCCTTGATGAACTCAAACAGAGAAAAGAGTAAAGATTTGATGTGTAGAAATGGGGATTTTGGTTGTAGGTATCCAGATGAGGAGGCAGGAGAAGTACCCATGGGTTTTGTGGTTAGAAGAAGAGGAACCACCATTGATGAAGCTCAAGTCAAAGATTATGTTGCAAAACAGGTACTTTCACTTTTCATTTGTTCTATCTCTTAATCCGTAGAAGGTTCAAATAAGAATGTTAAATATCGTGAAAAGGTAAAAAAAAAAAAAAAAAAGGTTTATATACGAATGATTTATAACATAAGCTCACATATGCATCTTCAAATAGAATTTCTTCAGACTTTCCCTTAAACCTACTCTTCTCATGATATTTAAGGGTCGTTTACCTAAATGCTTACCTGGTAAGTGCTTACCGATAGAAGTCAACACTTTCACATACCTTATCAGGTAAAATTGTTGCCCATCAAAATGGGTATCAAAAGCAACAATTCACCCGGTAAGTGCTTACCGGATAAGACTCTTCGTCCTTATCATCGCTGGTAATTGTTTCGTAAACGACCCCTTGGTGTTATTACTTGAACCAAGTCCTTAATTAACCGACGGGTGTTTTCAGGTTGCACCATACAAGAAACTGAGAAGAGTTCGGTTCGTGAATTCAATTCCAAAGAACGCTCCAGGAAAGGTACTGAGGAAGGAGTTGATCAAGCTGGCTCTTTCAGATCTCACTTCTAAGCTATAGCTTAACTCTCCAAAATGTCTGATTATAACTACACAACCAGAATGTGATATGCTCTGGGTTATGACAGTAATTTTACATATTTGATGATGAAGTTGTGTATTTGAATTAATGATAAAAAGATTGATTGATGTAAAATCATCAAAGAGTTTTTATTCTATGTTGTCAGCAACTCAATGAGATGCTCCTCATGGAAATTGTAGCAAAAGGGGGAGTTCTTCGACAATATAAGCCGATCCGATAATGTATCGGATTAAATACAACATGCAAAGTAACAAACAAGAAAACGGAGAAGAACGTTCCGTTACTCTGATAGAACTTTCTGAACCTCAACGGTCACCTCCTTCGGGGGTTTCTCTGCAGGAAGCTTTGCAACGACACCCTTGTTTCTGTAGTAGTCTATAACCTGCAGTTCACATATAAAACCGGTCAAAGAACTATTTGGTTGGTTTTCCATTAAGTTCTATATGGATAAAACTGTTTTTTAGATTCATCCATCTGTATTCATTGTGGAAGTTTTTGTTTTATAACTGGAAGGGGCAGACTTGCAAAAAACTTGACTTTCTACGTAAAGGCCCCCTAGAATCTTAGAGCATCTCCAACAACTTCTCCAAAAAAACATACACAATTAATTATATTATTAATATTTTCAATACAACTCAAAAAAATATTGTTTCACTCTCCTAAACATTTAATTTCAAACAATCTGATTGGTAGAATGAAAAAAAAAATCATCCTCTCTCCCATTAAGCTGCTATCTTTTGGTAAATAAAATCACAGCCGAAAAACTAATTGTTGGCTGGCAATCTAGTCATATTTGGCGATAAGCAAGATGACAATGTAAAATGATCTAAAGGGAAATGCTAAATATCTAATTGGAAAAACATGGCATCAAGGAGGTTGTGAGATACTTTAGGATTACCATAGAGAAGTAAAGATAATGAAAGAAAACATTAAAGATGAAGAGCATTTACTGGTTCAGTTTGCTTGTGAAAAGCCTGCAGTCTTGACTTGAGAACTTCCGCGGTATCATCTTTCCGTTGCATTAAAGGTTCTCCCGTAACCTTCAAGAATAGGAATATGATGTAGGCATGAGTCAAACCCGCAAGTTACTTGCAAACACACAGTAATAATGATACTAAGGAACCTCATAATTCACGGCCTAATTCAAGTTCATATTCTCCAAAATGGTATACTCGCCAAATAAGCCGAAAGTTTATACTAAAAGATGAGCCTTCGTGCAAATAAATGTTGAATATACCATTTATATGCATATTTGGCAATAGAAAAACAAATCAAACCATATGAGGCCATTATATCCCACCCGGAGGGTCTCGGAGAGATAGGATATATATATATATATATATATATATATATATATAGACTTGGGATCACGTGAGACCAGCTTGTTTTCGTGAGACATGTGAAATCACTTTTTTACACTTGAAACTTTACAGCAAAACGTTGTAAGGGTAAAAAGAAGCCGAACCTTCACAGCAAAAAACAGGCTGGTGTCATGTGAACCCAACCCTCTCTCTCTCTCTATATGTGTATGTATATATATATATATATATATATATATATATATATATATATATGCAGATATGCCCTCTACCCCAAAGGGCAGAGCAGCAGTTTTTAGGAAGGCCCCCGGCTTGTGAAATGAGTGAAAAAGTAAGACGAACAAAAGACCAACTGAATAGCAAGCAAAACAAAAAGAAAAACCTGAATATATGTATTATTTGCTTACATCATCAATTCCGTGAACCTTTGGAGGTGCAAACTTTGTGTGGTAGGTTCTTCCACTTGAAGCGTGAATCCAACGACCAGTAATTCTTTCTTCTAATATGGAGTCATCAATTGCAAAATCGAGCACCTTATCAATCTTAGTTCCTTGTTTTTGAAGCATCTCATCAAGCTGTACAAAATGGATCAAGGGATACTCGTAACTTCTTTAGAAGTATTCAAGTACATAATAATATTTATATACGGCAAGTGAGGTTTAAAACCCTTAACCTCCAGGGAGGCCAGGATTTACCGGATGCCATTGAGCCAATGACCACTTCCGTGTGACTTAATGGAAGGAGACAGCATACCTTCTCCGCCTGGGCAACTGTCCTAGGAAAACCATCAAGAATGAACCCTTTTTGACACGATGGCTTCTTCATTGCTTCATCAATTATCCCAACCACAAGGTCATCAGACACCAATTCCCCCTATAAAAACAAACAGAAAAAACCATAAACTGAAAAAAGAAGTAGAATGCATAGCTTCCCAAAAGTCCAAAACCATTGTATTTGGCTTCTCACTGAAAACAATTCATTATCTATGTGAAATGCAATAAAAACACTACATTTGCGAGTGAATTGCGATCCCTTTTGGACAGAAACGGTCAGAGCACAAGTTTCGTCCAAGATTGCTATTCGTGTAAACTGTAGAGTTTATCCCCGTAAGTTCACAAGACGGATAGAGATGGGAAATTTGCAATGAGAACCAATAAGATGGCTGAAAAAGTCGATCATTTGAAAGAAATATGTCAACTCAACCCGTAAAGAACAATGCATTACCCACCTTCTCCATGGTTTCCTTAGCTTTAATCCCGAGTGGAGTTTTGGCTGCAACAGCGGCTCGCAGCATGTCGCCCGTAGCTAAGTGACATAGGCAGTATTCATCCTTAATGATTGGGGATTGAGTGCCTTTTCCCGATCCAGGAGGACCTAACATTTATTCCTTTTCTCATAAGCAATTTATCAAACACATGGAAGGCAATACAGATCTTAAAAAGGCTTTCTTATAACTCAACTCCTAAAAGCACCTAAATTTGAACAGAATCAAATTGATAACAACATTCACATATCTCAAAAACAAAACCCATCTTCAAGAAACATCAAAAATGAACCACATCATAAACTTGGCAAGGCTAGAAATTAACATATTTCTGAAAGAATCTAAATCTCAAAGTAAATTGAATGCCAAAATGATACTATTTGAGCCACATATCAACTCTTAACCTTTTCTTTGTAACTAATTATACTTAAAATTGACATCAATTTTGAAGTTAGAGAATTAGCATATCTCAGATCAAAAAGTCAAAGTGTAGTCTTTATATTTCGACAGATCTCAAAAACAAAAATCCACCAAGAACCGCTATCAGAGCAATGAAATATTATACCCCAAAACTTGCCAAGGTAAGAATTAAACAAAATTTAAAAAATGGAGATGGAAGCTAGAACGCAATTCAAGCTTAGAATTTGGGGATATAGAACAATTATACTCAAAACTACATAATAATAACCCAATTCATGGAACCATTTACAGATCCCAAAAACAAACCCTAAAAATAAAAAAGGAATCTAAAAGAAGATGTGTAAAATGTACCGATAAGAATGAGACGTTTGTCGGGCTTAGATGAACACTTGAATCGGCGAAGAAGCTCGGTCATCATGTCGAGTGAAGGAACATCTTCCAAAGAGGTAGTGGTCGCCATTGTCGTAGTTGAGAGGTGGTTGAGTTTCCTGATGGAATAACGGTCGTTATATATAGGGGCGGTAGGTGTACCCACCACCGAATAAAATACTCCAACACACACACACACAGTGGAGGGCCTGAGAAAAAGAGGAAGAAGAAGAAGACGAACAAGTTGTTGAGGTTTGACTCCTGAAATGGGCCGGGTTGGGCTTTTACAACTACCACTATACACAAATGGGCCTTAAAACCGAAATAAACTAACCCAAAATATTTGAGTAGAAAAAAAAATATTATTTTGTGGAAATGGCCAAAAACCGGTCCTAAAACAGTAACAATCTGGACCGGTTTTTTTTATAAATTTTAAAAAATACTTTAATGTTTATTCTTATATACTTTAAAAAATCTAATTAGTTCAATCAAATACATTTAAAATTACGTTTATTGTAGTTTTATAATTAATTTTCAATCAAATACACTTAAAAATTACGTTTTATTATAATTTTATAATTGGTTTTCAATCAAATACACTAAAAAAATATGTTTGATTGTAAATTTGTAATTTGATTTTCAATCAAATACACTTAGAAAACCATAAATACATTCAAAAATCACATATAAAAGTACATTTTTGGGTCGGTCAGAGACTGGGCCTATAACTAGTCCTGGACCGGGCCTTGTTTTTAGATGAAAACCATAACTGGTTCTTAATCGACGGTCCCAAACCGGTCCCAGACTGGTCATAAGTCGGTCCCGGTCCCAATTCTCCGCTAGTTCCGGGAGAGGCTGGGCCCATTTGGCTATCTCTTGTGTTGAAGGGTAAAGGAGAGGAACAAAAAGAAATGAAATTAATAATTTTTAATGTTTTTAAGGATAAATAAAAGAAAAGATGTTGCTTTTACAAATACATCTTTATTTGATTTTTCAGTCGTTGTAATTGATACATAGATGTGTAATTTATAAATATTTATAGTTATTATTATTTTATCAGTGAATTACACATTTGGTCTCCGTGAATGTTTCTTTTATTGTTTTCGTCCCTTAAAATTATAAAGTATATTATTGGTCCAAAAATCGTGTTTCATATACCAAATTGGCCCCTCCCACTTAGCATCGTTAGTTGGACCCATTAACTTGGTCATGTGCCGCTCACGTGAAGGACATTTTAATCCCTAAATTTACATTTTTAGTCCCTAAAATTACATTTTTTGTCGCTTATTTTCATGTACTTATTTTTAAACTTATGTACATATAATTTATGGATTAACTTTAATAAAATTATTATTTTGAAATTTTCAATACTAGTTATATAATTATACGATATTTTATGATTTTATTATCCCAATACATGTTAAATTTTTTTATATAAAATAATAATACATTTAATATTATTAATAAAAAAAAAATATGAAAAAGTATGCGTATATCTGAAGAATAATTTTTTTTCCTTATTAATATAGAGGTTATTTATTTAAATCTAATTTTTAATACATTTAACAAGTTAATGGATGAAATATCGAATTATTACAGGCTAATGGTTTCATATGTTGGATTTAATCGCGTTATTTGTAATTTGAACCATTCACTTACACTATTTTAATATTAAACTTATTTAGTTCGCTTCAAAATAACTGTTTATGTTTATATTTTAATTGTTATTAAATATTTACCTTTCCATTCTACTTTTGACTAATAGATGATAAAATTATGTTTTAGGTCATTATAAATGTTGAGTACACTACAAATTTGGTCCATGTGGTTTGTCTAAAATAACACTTTCGTCTCTACAACTTCAAAATTATAAGATAACCATCGTGGTTTGCAAAAACGTCTCTTCCTTTTACGGCTGTTAACAATTTTGATAAATGAGGGACATTTTCATCATTTTATCGTATTTTTTGTCTTTTATTCAATCAAAATTGCTTTATGATTTTAGTCCATGTGATCTTTTATTGGGTAAAAGTAAAAAATTGATAAAAAAAAGACAAAATGTCCTTCATTTAATGGTTGTTAGAAAAAGAAATCAAAACCGGCCGTTTTTGCAAACTACGATAACCATCTTGTAATTTTATAACCGTAAAAACAAAAAAAGTTACTTTTGAAAACCACAAAAACCGAATTCGTAGTTTACTAAAAAAAATGTAATAATTACACATATTTCTAAAACTATATACATTCTCTATTATAAACATTTATATTTGAGACGAAAGAAAGTATTAATCGTCAAATAAGTAGTAAAAATATTTAGTAACTAATCAAACAAATATGGTGATTATATATTGTATCATAGGATTGGTTTTACATAACTGTTTCGTGAAATCATAAAATAACACTGAAACTTTACAACAAAAAATTATAAAATAAAGGCATGAAAAGCACCGAAACTTTACAGTATTTTACTATGAAATGTTAGATAGTATTTATATGATCGGGTTTCATAAAATCAGCATTATCTCACATGATCCAACTTGCCAAATATAGCTTCGCGGGTCACAAGTGTGATCCCCCTCACCCATAACTCAGCCATCTCAACACCACCCTCACACACAAAATGCACCTCTTTGTTCCTTGTCGTAACCACCCGAAACAAACCCGCCTCATCCCAATCGGTTTTCTTCCTCCGGTTCCATCGAAAGGCCGAGCTTGGACCCACCTCTGCCCATTTACACACCACGTTCCGCCGGCTTGATTTCCCCCACCTCAATAACCCGCTCCCTTCAACCATACTTAGCCGTTTGTTATGCGCACACCCTTTTCCCCCTTTGCAATGCTTCTTGACTCGACCACCGCCCAAAACAAGTCCCCGAGCCAGATGGTCTAGTAAAACCCGTTCGGCGTCGTTCCCGACACCGTCTTTACGGGATAACCGAAGGGCGGTCTCATGTCTTGCATTCTCGATATCACAAATGGCTCCTCTTGAGATCAAGAGCTCGCAGATTTTCCCGTGTCCTTCTCTTGCGGCTAACATAAGTGGCGTGTATCCGTCGTTGTCAGGTGCATTAACGTTGGATTCACCATTTGTTAACGTCTCGACAGCGTCGTAATCGCCTCGAGAAACGGCTCGGTGGAGGGTGTAAAATCCATTGTTACAAGAATTAAGGTGATCTTTGGAATGACCTTTGGCCTGGGCGCATTCAAGTATAACTTTCTCAAATGCACCACAGTCAACACTCGATTCCGATAAACTAATTGCGGTTTCGCCATACTTGTTTTGAAGCTTTACGTTGGCTCCAGCATAAACCAGCAACCGAAACGCCTCCATGTGACCGTTTAAAACCGCAACCATGACCGCCGAGTACCCGTTCTCGTCTTGTTCATCAAGGTCAACAACACCCGTTTGGTCAACAAGCTTTTTCAACGCTTCGATATTGTTTACTCGTGTAACAAACATCAAAGTAGAGAATATGGAAGTATCGGTTGAACGAGGGACCTTTCCGGATTGAACCACGTCTAAAATGGCTCGTCTTAGGCCTAGTGTCCATCTAACCGATCCAGCGATTGACTGAACACACTGGTTAGCCATATTGACCAAACCGAAATCAGCACCAGCCCCAGCCAGAAGCTTAAGACACTCGACATGTTTATGCCTTGCACATATCATCAATGCAGTTTCTCCTGATTCCGTTCTCGAATCAAGATTACAGCAGGCGTTAACAAGGTGCTGCAGGACGCCATAATAGCCTAGCCGTGCAACCAAATGGATTAACCGGAACCCCGTTCCTTTGACGGTTTCAACTGGGAACTCGGGATCGGCACCACACTTTAACAAAACCTCAACTGCTTTTAAATTTGCACAAAGGATGGCATGGTGGATGATTGTCCTCCCAAAATGAGGAATGTTGGGGGATATATGTTGGAGGAGCATGTTTAAGATTGAACCCGTTTCTTCAAAATACTCGACTGCGCACCACAAAACGCTGTATGGCTCGGCTAATCCAGCACCTACCCGATACTCTTCTCCTGTGGCCATGTCCCATGACCAGGCTCCTAGCCTCACCTTGGTGTCTGTTCTCACACCAGCCTGGGCAAAAAACCACATAATAGTATTATAATGTGGCTCTGTTTGATTTATATTCAACCCCAAGAAGGGGTTTAAGGGTATGTTTACCAAACTAGCTGATAAGCTGGCTGTTTTCTCGGATAAATTAGTCATGTTTGGTAAAAACTAGCTGAGAAGCTAGATGACTATGTAAGGGGAATAAGTGGAAAAAAACCCAAGGAGCTTGTTGAAACACTATTTGAAAGTAGCGTTTCAAAAAGCTAGCTAGCCTAGCCAAACTGGCTTTTTCAATAAGCTAGCTTAAGATGCCAAACATGAACTAACAACACTACTGAATACTCATCCTGAAAATCTTGGAAATACATATAGAACTTCACCAGTAAAAGAAGCTGAACAACGGAGATGTGTCTATTGACGGTGGCAGCAACAAGGGCATTACAGCTAACATCGGCATGAAGAAAAGGCTTGGAAGACCGAAGCAAAACTCGGGCAGTTCCATTCATGTCTACTCCACACTGCCATCAAATAGAGAAAATATATGCAAGTCATTCTTGGCATTTGACATTACAAATCAAGTTTCAGAATGTGCATACATCCACTTTTAATGCCAAAAGAGATTGGAATGGTGGTAGCAGGATATGTACCTTCAAAAGTGTTTCAACTACATCAACGAATCCTCTATGTGATGTGTTGACGAGGGCATGGACTGCAACATTAGGGCGAATGAGGTCGGATGCCATTAAAGCTTTAGTTGGCCTGGCTAGACCAAGGTGGCTTGATTCCATCAAAGCCTCCTCACAAGCAAGCTGAGAAGCTCCACCTTCAAGTAACAAGTCTAGTATCTCAATATGGCATCCCCTAGCTGCTGCAGTGGTAGCGGTGCCACGAAAAAGTTTCTTATTTACATTTGCCCCAGCGGTCTACAATACCCCCAGAAGAATTAAAGTTACAACAATCCCAGTGATTTTGGTTTTCAAATTCAATTCAGAGGTTCTACTTGGTGATATGATGATGATTCATGAAGGATTTATTTCAGAAGGATTAGGGTTGTACTCCATTTTCAAAAATTGAGATCCATAACGTCTAATACATATATTAACTCGCATTTCGAATACTTAGATGTAATTATTCGTCATTAATTCTGCAAAATTGGCCAATAATTCAAAATTCGAATTTTACAAACCATCACTTTCAGAATCCAAATAAGTAATACCTAATCAACGCATCTAATTATTTTTCCAGATTCAAATTTTAATAAAACAAGGAGAAATCAGAAAAGTCCAACGCCAATCAAATCCGTTTTCCAGTTACTCAATATTGGAAGGAAAAGGCCGGATGATTTGGCAAAAAATTGTTCTACACCTCAAGATGAAAAACAGATCATATGATACAACCAAAAAAGACAAAAAGAAGAAGAGCACGTTGTGATGGTACCCTACGCTTCTAGATTACAACTACAGTGTCTGGTTGATTGAAAATGTGATTGTTCGTGTTCAATCAAATAAAGTTGGGAAAAAATAAGAATTTTTTAGTGGAAATCAGAATTTCACTAGAGATGATGCATAAATCGATCATATTACCAGTAGCTTTCTAACAAGCGTCACATTTCCGACATGAGCAGCGAGGAACAGAGCCGTAACATCCGTTTTAAACTCTTCAAACTCCACTCGAACCTCGCTGGGAGACTCATCATGTAACACGATCTCCGTCTTCTTCGAATTCAAGCACACGGTTCCAACAAAATTCACATCAACGAAAGGATCCAGCAAGCAATCGAACGCGGCCTTGAGATCGTTGGCATGCACAGCTTCAATAAGGCGTTGTGAGACTTTCTCCTGATAATCTTCCACAGGAAACACCTGCTTCACGTCCACATATGGGCTACCGCCTGTGCAATCGCCGGCGTTGAACACCGTCATATTTTCCTGTGTTGCTCCGTGAGTAAAATGCTGCCCGGAGGAGGGAAAATAGTTAAAAGCCAGCGCAGGTTCCGTTATTAGGAATTTTTAGGGGTATTGATTTATATATAATCTTCAATTTAACTCTTTCTAGCTTAACCGAATTATATGATACTTTTACTTCTTTAAAATAAATAAATAATTTATTAATTATATATTTTTAGTGATTTATTAAAAAAAATCCTTTGTAATTCATTTCATATATATATATATATTTTTTAAATAACTTTTTTGGATTGTTTTCGTATATAAATATTATTCTCAACATTTCCTTCATACATTATCACCATATTCGAAACGATTCCTATGTATTTATATTTGGACAAAAAGTTAATTAAGAGTTAGGGTTAGTAGGGAGTTTGGGATTAATCTATTACATGTCTTGTATTTGGGCAAAATCGTCTCTCTTGGGCCACCAACTGAGCTACACGCCAGAAGCCCTATGTAACATCTCAGGCTTACCATATCAGATATTTTCTGCACTTAAACATGCTATTTTAAAATGTGTCTGATAAAGAGGTATCGAGTATCCTTATAAGATCTTACAATCCACCCCTTTAGGAGTTCAGTGTCATCGCTTGCATACCAGTTCGGTTCCCAGCTGTGTTACCATTTAAGCATCCTATGCAACCGTACCAGATATTGTCCGTATACTCATGGTTTTAAAACATATTTGATAAATAAGGTATTCAGATCCTTGTAACGGTAACATTTGTTTCTCTTTCCAATCTAATTTTGATTTAATAAAATTATCTAATCAATAACATTTTAAGTTATTAGTTGTTTTTATTAAGTCAATTTAATTAGAAATGCTATAAATGTTTTTATTCAAAATAACGTAAAATGGGATCATTTCAAAGCATGGAAAACGGTAAGAAAGCGAGGGTGAAGAAAGCGGTTGGCGTTACATGACAGCCGGATTTAGCCGGCTCACATTTGGGCCATGTTTTTTAATGTCAAAAATGACCAGATTAATAATGAAGAGCCGGTCCAAATCTTATTTATTTTTTCAAATAATAATAATATATTAACCAATAATGTTATTAATTAATTTTAATTTTTAAAAATATTATAAACATAATTATTTTCTACGTCTAGTCGTGGGCCAATTCAAAAAGATATCCCTGTATATTGTTTTTAAAACAATCACATTTAAATTTCGGTTGTAAATATTTTATTGAAAATAAAATGCATAAAACTGATTTGATTATGACAACCATTCCACTTATTATTTAATTACCAAAAAGGCTTAGATTTTGATCTCTAACTTATCACGGAAAAATATTGTTCAACTTTCACTACACCGACGCCTACATTATTTCACTTTTTACGTCAATTAAATGGTAAATATTACGAAGCCATTGTACAAGCTCTTAAGCTCAGATTTTATGGTTTGTTTGTTAATGGTTTATTTGTTAGTAGTTTAATAAGTTTAATTTGATTTACAATTTATTTGATTGAATTTCCATGATTATTTGGCATTAGTTTAATGATATAGAAAATGATTTATCCAGTAAGTTTATGGATGAAAATTTTACGCAGAAAGCCAAAAGCATTTCAAATAAGCCCTTGACAACTAAAAAACATGCTTCTATACATGGAAAAACCCTTCTAGAGAAATATCATGTCAATCTATACAGACAGTTTTATTCATACAAATTTTAATACAAAACCAACCAAACCCCTCCTTAAAAGTCTCTTGATAGAACTATTTCATTGAAAAAAGGATTAATATTTGTTATTAAAATTCTAGTAATTATTGTGGAGTTGTATTACAATGAGAAATGGCACAAATTTAGTAGATATGGACACATGCAAGCTTTTATTACATAAACTAACTACAAATACTTCTAAAGTCTGAATATACATATTTGAAACAAGATTAACCATCGGGTAAAGAGAATGATAAGAAAAAGGTAAAACATTAAGGTGGTAATATTACAAACGTACCAAAACATCCATGGAAATGATCATGCAAGAAATCAAACATGCATTAAGGGAAGAAATCACCATGCAAGAAATCAAGCATGAATTAAGGGCATAATTGACTATATCTTGATTAATACATGATTCATAATATATTGATTCTTGAAGACATTTTATTCCTGAAACACCCAAATATAACAAAAGGTAGAAAGGTGTCAATTTCCATCAGTCTTCCAATTTCCAAAGCTTGTATAGTTAGAAAAGTGTATGACTAACTATATATATTCAAAAGAGGAATTCCCTAAATGACCATAATACATCAAGAAAGTACAAAAATATCAAGTTTTTTTTCCTTCATATTTGCACAAAATGATAATTGACGAGTACAAATCCAAGGAGGGATAAAAATCTCCTTGTGGCCATGGAGGTTTAAATGCGGTGACTCCGGACTATCTGCAAAGCAGGTGGTCGCCCTGGAATTAATCGGCTCGCATGACGGGTTGAATATCCAGGTTAATAAAAAAAATGAGAGTACATTGCAAAATGATTTCGGCATTGGTAATTTTCCCATTAATGTCAAAGGTGGGACCTGCTCTCTTAAAAAATTTATGAAAAAATACATGTAATTCAGTTGATTTTGAGGTTCTCGGAGATTTCATGAAATCACCAAGTCCCAATCAATGACAAAGTGACATGTGTCATTTCCCCAATAAATAATTTCATTTGACAATTTGGATAATCATCTTGTACAAATATAAAAAAACTTGTACATTTTTCACTTCGGGAATTACCCCCTATTCATAATAAAATAATTTTGCGGTTTTGTGCAAAAGATAAGAATGTGGAGATAAGAAATTATAAACTTGAAGACTGTTTTTAAATTAAAAAATATTACTTTTTCATGAAACAAAAATTTAAGTTAAACAAAAAAATTCTTAATTACTGATCCCATTGATTACCAACCATTCATATTAGAAATAACCACATTAGTATGAGTAACATCAAATTCATAAAAGTTAGTGTAAATAACATATCTTCTTTTCTCCAATGAATAACATCTAATCTTAATTCTAGATGTATTCTAATCTATCTTCTTTCGTTGTTGTATAAAATTTGGTGTAAGATATGTTTGATGACAAATTCAAAACTTGATTGACAATAATGTTTAGAGTAAACTACAAATTTGGTCTCTATAGTTTGTCAAAAACATCACTTTGTCTTTGTGGTTTTCAATTACAAGATGGCTATTGTGGTTTATAAAAAAAATCCGTATTTGGTCCCTCCCTGACTGTTAAAACATTATGTTAAATAAGTGGTATTTTCGTCGTTTTATCTATTTTTTGTCATTTATCCAATCAATCTAGATTTATGATTTTGGTCCATTTTGGTTTTTGATTGGTAAAACTGTAAAAGACAAACAAATTGATAAAAAGGACAAAAATGCCTCTCAATTAACGCAATTTTTTTAATAACTGTTAGAGAGAGGGACCAAATCTTAACGTTTTTGCAGACCACGATGACGATCTTGTAATTTCTAAACCACAGGGGATAAAAAGTGTAATTTTTGACAAACTACAAGAACCAAATTTGTAGTTTACTCTAATGTTTATTTCTAAAATTTCAATCTTATTCGAGTTAAATGAGTAATTCGTGTTTTGTTGAACAAAAATCAAAGTGGACCATTTAAAAAATCAAGATAAAGTTGATTAAGATATGATTACTGTTTAATTTGATTTTGGAATATTGTAAACAGTTGTAGAACAGTGTTTTTTGTGTAGGTCTATAGTTCTTTAAAAGGAGGTTAAAGTGTTACAAGAGGATACCTTAATTAGTTGTAAATTTGAGACTTCAAGAGATCATAGTGTCCATAATCATGATAAAGAACACTCACTGGGTTTTCCTTCCCATACTCTTGTCCATATTCTGCTACAACTTTGATAGATTTGGACTTCTTATTCCGCATATAAACTGTAATAGGCACTCTGTAAACATATCATAAAATATGTCACAATTAAACGTTTATAGGGGTAGACTTGATACGGTATCAAGTTTTTTTCTCCAATACCGTGTACCAACCAATTTTGATTGGTATGTAAAATTTTATATCATGTATCAACCAACTGTATTTGGTATCAACTTTTTTTGATTGGTACATGTTGGTATTGGTTTTGACCAACTTCAAGTTACATATATGAAAACTTACTATTATGTTCAAATTTTGAGTGACTATTTGAGTTTTTAGGTTACACATGTAATGTTTATTGGTTTTTAAGCACAAAGAATAAAACTTGCAAACTTTCAGATGTTCAAACAAAATAGTTAAAGCTACACAGTTTAATATTCATACTTTAAAAAAATTCAAAAACTGATATATAATTAAATAAGTCGGTCTCATTGTACTACTGTGATAAACAACTTCGAATATATGTACCGGCCAAGTTTACATATTTGTTATGGTAATATCAACCGATTGTAAATGGTACCAATCAATTTAATTGATACAGTTGATACAAATATTGATTGGTTTAGTTTGATATAAAATTATTCAAAAGTAAATTTGTAAAATTTTAAGCAAATTTATGGAAAGTGTATAAACTTGGGATTCGGTATCCATCATGCTCAAAACAGAGTAATTTTCAAATACATCAAGGCTTTTTTACATTCTAAATTAAAACAAACTCAATATATCCCAAAAGAATGTGCGGAGAAAATTTTCAACTCCAAAAAAGTAGAGCCGACATACATGTTTTCTGAGGGTGCGTTTGGTACATTGAATAGAACAAAACAAAAAATGGATCATTTTTCCATGTTTGACAGGTTCTTTTTTACGTGGAACAAACAAAAACTAAGTAGAACAAATTAGAACAGATGTGTTTCACCCCATGGAACAAAGTGGAACACCCCTATATTTTACCAATACATCCATTAAAATAAAACTTAATTCTTTTCTAAAACATTAAATACGTCTCTCTCATTACATTTTATTCATTTTTAAATTTCACATTGTTGTCCTAATTATTTTTATACATTTTCTATATTTTAGTTAACTTTTGTAATTTATTAAATATTAATAATATAGAAAAGATATAAAATAAAAATTAGAAATTAATAAACTTAAGATTTGGTGTTATTTTAATCGTCTTGACGAAAACTTTTTATAAATATATTTTGTTATAATATTTTATTATAATCTCATGAATTACATAATAAATACAAAAATAAAATATATAAACACTCGTTAGGAGTAAATTGGTCATTTTAACAAGTATATCCAACCTTATCCTACCAAACACTAAACATCTGTCATTTCTTGTTCTCTCTTATTTTGTTCAGTCCTATTTGTATGTCATGCGCACCCTAAACATCTTTAATAGTTGAGATTTAAGCATGGGAGGACAAATATATCATCGCCCTTGGTCCTTGAACCACCCTCGATCCCAAGTAGTCCACACTTCCTAGTCCTCATCTTTGGGAGGCTCGAACCCTAGACCTTTTAGAAGGTTGGACTCTATCGATAACCGAGTATCGCTGGGATAATGATCCCTTGGTTCTTAGTTCCTATGAAGTAGAAGAGAGAATATCAAAGAAAACAAAAATGAGAGACATACTTGAGGACATGTGAGGACATAAGCAATTCTGGTTCACCACCCCAGACATGTGACCGTTGCATATGTGAGACATAAGTCTCGAAACCACCTTCAAGAAACCTGAAAAACCATGGACCAACCCACAGATTACCTTTGTTTCGAGACTGTTGGAATCCCACTTCGGCCTAGTTATGGACTAAAGCAGATGTATATAAGCAAGAGATCTCTTTCATTTTTTCTTTTAGAAAGAGAATCAGAGATTCCATGTATTATATAGGAAAACTTATGCTTTTTTTCACAATGGTGCGAGAAACAAAAATATTAACCAGTATTCAAATATGGGTCTTACCATTCGGTTTCAGCCCGTCGCTTGATCAACTCATTCACAACCTATCAAATAAGTTTATGTAATGGTTTCATGAGAAGCAGGAGCATAAGTAAGTTAATGTCACTAAGAGAAAATTTTAAACAAGTATACAGGCGAACTATAGTTCCTCATTGCACTTGAGCAACGAAAAAGTAAAAGTGCTCTACTAAACTAATGAAGCTTTATCACTGGCCTCCTACATACAATATTGATGGAACTTTGTTAGGAAAAGGAACTTGTCTCGCGTAGGAATCAAGTCAAATAAGAACTCACTTAATAAAGCCTAAGGCTTGGGTTTTGAATGAATGAGTTACATGGATTTGGATTTGAGTATGGGGCTTTGCAAATGACATTTACATATTAAATGTCAAAGATAAGGAAGGCCTTGGGACAGATTACACTCTGGGTTCTCTCTTCCTTTGCCACCAAAAATCCATCACCAAACATAGTTTGATCCGCTAGATTCAAGTCATACTTGAATTTGATTGTTGTATCCTCTAGACAGACGTTATACCAAGAATTTTCGGTAATACAGACTCTTTTTGGTGCAGGCCTCAATCAATTTATCAATTATAGCAAGAATCTACCGTATCAAGTAAGAATTCCTGATTGCTTTCTGTTGGTGGTATGTTGTTTCTATGTTTACACTATACATTTTATCCAAGAATTTCAATTTTCTGCATTTTCTCTATTCATATATACACATATTTTGATCAAGTGATTGATTACTCCTAAACAATACTCCCAATGTTTCAGATCAGGAGGTGCAGTTTGAATTTTGAGAATCACGGAGACTCACTGCAATTTATTAGACCTGTTAAGCTTTCGAAACTGATGACTAGATTAAACCTGAAAAGTATTTTAATTTACTCACTCCAAATTAGCATACACACGAAGAATGATGGCGTACGATCATGTTAATTGTTTAACTAATCAAATTAAATATTAAAATTCAGTTGTAGTTGTTTAATACCTTGGTTCTGAGATCATCTGCAAGTTCCTTCGTAACATTCTCCGTTGGAACTGGCCTACCTGCTCTCAAACAGGCACCGTGCACAACAGAGCGAAACATGCATCTTCCATCTCCAGGTATTCCTGTTCATAGAAGCGTTTCCACAACAAATCATTCATCTATACTGCTTGAAGAATCATAAATCTCTTGAATATAATGCATAATTACACGCACAGACACAAATCGGATAGAACAGTACATACTAATCACATGGAAATCGCTACCGAACGAAAATTTTCTAGGTTTTGACATTGAATTAACAAGTTCAAACTCTCTTAACTAGAAAGATTGACAAAATTTCTAAATCGAAATGGAGAATTTTACCTGCAGGGATGAAGAATCTGTGTTTCGAATGTTGAAGTGGACTGATCTGAGAATCAAATTCGATCTGAACGGTTTTTCTTCCGGGTGAATCTTCTTCCTTCGTATGGTTTATATTCGTTTCCCGTCTAGTTGTACCGTATGTTTCACAGATAGTACATTCCTCAAACACGAACGTTGTGTTCTTGATTCTTTTTTCACAACGGAACGGGAGGGAAATCAAAGGAAAGTAGTCTTTTGAGACACTGTTACGATTATATCAAAGATAAAATATAAGAGTTTATAATATATAACACATTAAAATGTCACCGTATTGTTCCTCCGTGGTAAAATATAAAAGTTAGGTTCGTGAAAGTTGCAAATGTTTTATTCTAGAAGGTATAACTGTTTTATATGGTGCCACACTATCCAAAAATTCTTGGGTCCGTCTCTGCTCTGTCTAATGAAAAACGAAGGAAAGCAAAAGAAAGTGGAGGGAAAGAAAGAAAGTGGTGTTGTCTGAGTTTTTTTTAAACGGAAAACAAGGAAGATGTAAGATCCATATCGGTTACATATTGCTTTTGCAAGGGATAGAATACCTTATTCTCGTACGGTTAGTTACGATATTGCAGATGTATCAGAGTCATGAATGTTGGATTATCAAGGGGGTGGATTGTAATATCCCACATTGCTTGGGAGAGAACAAATGTTGCCTTAAAAGAAACCGGATATCTTATCTATCAGAAGCGTTTTAAAATCGTGAGTCCAAATATAGACAAAATTGTCAATGTTGGTACAATTAGTTTGGGATGTTAAAAAAAATAAGCCATAGAGGCAAGTGAAGTTGGTGAGCCGTATAATGGGCAACTATCTCCTGTGGTTCGAAGAGGACTTAGTTGTTAGTTAGTACCCCTTTGGTTTCAGGGTGGACCCTTTCACTCGTTAGTAATCATGGATTAGCATGCCGCGGTGAATATGTATCCGAGCCTTTTTTTAACGGTTTCCTCATAGATCTTTATCATTAATGCAACCTTCATTTTGCTCATTCATGGGCCTATTCATGCTCTTGCTATCCATATTGAAAAAATAGCTTGACTCATTCCACCCAGCAAGTCTGTGGAGCTATATTTTCCATTAGGGATTACAATCAGGAACAGAATGAGGAATACAGCTGGGTCTTGCAAGGAAGCATCTTGACAGGCCCGCAACTAGTGTTTGAGAGGTCCCCGACTTTGCTTTCTTGTCCGGAATAGAACCAGCTTTAGTTCTGAGGACGGAAGCCTTTTTTCTGGTTGGCTAAGAAGTTGTAAATTGATTTTTGTGTCTGCCCTAAGGCTAAGAGAGAATTGCATTTTCTACTAGTCTACCCACCTACCAGCATACCTTGTTCATATTGAGCCAGACATGAGAGACACTCTTTTTCTTTTAAAACTTTCCTCCCACGCTTGGGAGGAAAAAACGATAAGTATAAATAATTATAAAATTACACATTTACCTATCAATTATAATTTGTTGAAAAATAAATATTTATAAAAATGATATATTTCATTTCCTTTCTCATATGTCTAAAACGTGAAAATGTAGTTTCTTTCCCTCCTTTTCAAGAACACATAAAAAAAACTCTTTMCTTCCTTTTATTTTATTTTACATCCCTTCTTTTCTTTTATTTTATACTTGAACTCGAGAACACAATGCAAATAATTTGATCGAGATAAATTCATAGCATTTAAATATTTAGGTTACGTCAAACATAAATTAACTTATCAATATCGGTTAGTTTATCGACTAATTTACCAAAAATAGTGTTATGATTAAGATTTTTCATTTTCATCAACGAGGAGAAATGAATACTGAAGAAAATTGACAGAAATAGTCAATCTCCCTAACTAAATTCACTTTTTAGTTATTTTTTCAATCAAATTCTCGTTTTAGCTATAGTTTATGCAAATGTCTTGTGCATTTTCATAAACCCTATATTTAAATTAAAAAAGAAAAAATTATTTACGCAAATTTGTGTAATTTGCGTAAAGAATTTGCATAAGGATCCCATTTGCATAAAGAATTTACGTAAACTACCCCATTTGCGTAAACAATTTTTTTTCATTTGAAAATAAACATTATGCAAATGCATAAGGTATTTACGTAAACTTGGATGTTGTTTGTTTACATCTTAATAGTTCTATTAAGAGTCAACATCTGAATCGTTAAGAGGTGAGTCTTGTTTGTCAAAAAAAAAATATGTCTCTTAATGGTTCTAAAATTCTCTGAATGATTTTGCATTTTGGGCTTCCTTTAACCATTCAATGCCCTAATTTCATTATAAACAATTATCAAACAATTATATTTCATTTTGCACTATATCATTCTAGTCTCTTAATCATTCTAATCACTTAATCATTCTAATCCCTAAACCATTCAGCAAGTACCAAACAACCATTAAAAGTTAGAATTCGATGTCAAAGTGCCTGGAAAATAAATTTGGTTATGGGAATCGGCTATTTTGATCATTTTCCGGAGCCACAGAATTAAAAAATAAAACTGGTATAAATTGACGAAATCCGAATATTTTTCAAAATAGAAAATGTAAGATGCAACTTTTGTTGCATAAAATATAAATCTAAAAAGACGTAATTCGTAATTTCCGGGTTTGTAGCATTGTCCGAATCTAACGGCTATTAACGGTAACTAAAACACCTCGACATTCCCTTGTCAATTGGCACCTAATTTTCCGAACATTTCATCGTACTTCGACCCATGGCTTCCCCGATGTCTTTATCGACAACGGAACGCCTCGTTCATCAATGGCTTCTTTTCATCGAATAATTTTATGGGTCTCGTTTCTGTCTTTATACGAACACATTTCTTAGCATTTAACGGCTTTCAATCGGACATTCAAGACCCTTCACCCGACACTGCAATGATCCCTCGAAGACGCCGTTTGTTGTTCACCGTTGGAGCGTTAATCTTGTGCGTTCTCCGAAATATCTTGACGAGAATGAACGTTTCCACAAGCCCGAAAGGAAAAAGGGGGAAAATCATGTGCGCAATAGAACATCAATGGTTAGCGATCCTCTCGTTTTTTGATGATCATATTATGGTGTTTGAAGATCTAATCGAGAAGTTTTTCCCACCGTCGACCCGTGTTTTCGACAAGATCGACGAGCTCCTTCAAGTATCGGAATCTTTACCTCCAAAATTCGACGATTTCATCGACAATGATGTACCAATGATTATGCAACACATACCGTTTCTTGATCGGGTCTTCAAGAAAGACGAAAAGGAAATCGTGATTGATATCACATGTCATGGTTATAGAGTCGAACCAGAAAATGCTTCCAAACACGAAAATGTGGTGAAATCGGATGGTGAAAATAAGAAAGTTGACAAGGAAGATGTGGACACGTCAAAGATGGTCGATAAGCTTGGTCAAACGAACGTCCACGAGAAGATGACGAACGAAGAGAAGAATCATGATCTTAACAAAGAAAACGACGAGATGGATGATGGCAATAACGATTTTCTTTATTCCGCAAGAGCAACTAGTAGTAACGAGGAAATTGTTCAATCTGAGGATCCCATCTTCGAGCTATTTGAAGCTGGATGGGCGATGTCGCCGCGTACCCTCTCGAGCGCATCGTCGATATGAAAAATACTGATATTACCATGTAATCGTAATTGTAATTAGTTGAGATACGCATAAGCTAGTAAGAATACCCAAAGTTATTTTTAAAAATCGGCTTAAAGAGGTTCAATTTTTATATTTAATTCTTTTTATATTATTGTAATTCATCTAAAATTTTGAATATGTTGCATTTTAGTTATATTTAAATATGACTTATCATATAGCAAAATTTTAATTATATAAATATAAAGCAGGGAATCCAACCATATATAAGGTTGGATATTAGTGAGAAATAAAGTTATGAAAAACGTAAGAAGAGAACTCTATTATTAGATCAATTATAATTGAATGTCAACACTAATGAGGTGCATCGAGATGCATCAGATCAATTATCTTCTAAAGCGCAAATCATGAGTGGACATGTTAAAAGTGATATAGAGTTCAAATCTCTTATGTTTTTCATTGTAACTTCTCCTCACACGATCATTCACCTATGTGTGTGTGTGTATATATATATATATATATATATATGTGTGTGTGTGTGTGTGTGTGTGTGTGAGGAGGGGAGGAATTCACGTGAGATTCACAGTGTTTTGCTGTGAAGTTTCAAATATAAAAATGTGGTCTCACGAAAACAATCTAGTCTCACATGATCCCAAGTCTATGTATATATATATATATATACACACACACACACACACAGACATACACACATGCAAATATGTGAATAGGGTTAGGTTCCGATGAGAAGAGAAGTTACAGTGAGAAGCATAAGAATTGATCTCCACCCTTCGATCAATCTTATTTGAATGTCAACACGTTGCACCTGATCAATCCCCTTCTAAACCGCAATTAATGAGTGGGCATGAGATTAAAAGTGATCAATGGTTCAGATCTCTCCTTACATTTCTTACCATAACTTCTCTTCTCATGCGATCTTTCACCTATGTGAATTGGTAAAATATACGTAAGCAAAAGTAGATTCATATATGTATTTTTAAGTGGATTTTTTTCAAGTTTGCTAATGATCGATAATTTCATATAAGGTGAACTTGGTACGATATCAAAAAAAATTCTCCAATACCATATACCAATCAATTATAATTGATACACAAAATTTTATGTCATGTACCAACCAACTATATTTGATACAAACTTTGTTATGTTAGTACAAGTTGGTACCAATTTTGTTCAACTTCAAGTTATATATGTATATGAAAACTTGTATTTATGTTCAAATTTTGAGTAATTATTTAAGGTTTCAGGTAACACATGTAATATTTAAGAGTTTTTAATTGCAAGAAATAAAACTTGCAAACATTTATATGTTCAAAACAAAATAGTTAAAGTTACAAAGCTCAACATTCAATTTATAAAAAATTCAAAAACTAATAGATAATTAAATAAGTTGGGGTAATGGTACTACCGTGATACGCAACTTCCAATATGTATACCAATTTTGTACACTCGATAAGTACTACCAACCGATTGTAATTGGTACCAATTTATATACAACTAGTATACATGTTGATTGGTTCAATTTGGTACAAAATTGACACCTCTAATTTCACATATAAATACCTCATTTTTACAAACTTTTTTAACCTTCTTAATTGAATGCACTCTAAATCGATCGGTATGAAGAAAAGAAAAAAAGAACCCCGAAGGACTGATTTTGAACACATCCAAAAATGGAAGGTCAAAAGAGACAAAATTCTTTGATTACAAGGGCTGTACATCTCTTTTTGTTGGAACAAAAAAAAAATACCTAAAAAGAAAAAGAAAAAAATTTAAAAATTTAAAAATTAAAATTAAAATTTCTTTTTACAATTTTTTTAAACCATGAGAATCAAGAATTCAACACTGGTATACTGAGAAACTCTTGTTCTTCCACCAAAAACTCCAAGCTCTCCCCATCTTCCTCCTTGATGTTGATTTGCTTAACGTTTTCCGATCGTCACCGCCACCCTCACAGCGATGTATGCCGCCCTGAACCACCACTGGATCCCTCTGCCGCTGCTCCCGGAAAACCATCAACAGTTTTTGAGCCTTCTGTTTCCCTCTCATTGTCCCATTAACCGATATCGATACCAAAGACGGTATCACCCCTTCTTGCAGCACCATTTCGCAGCACTTATCGCTTCCGGTGCACAAAATCAGCAGGCAGGCGGCCGCCTGCTCCTGGACCTCGGGTTCACCGATGTCGAGCAGCATCGAGAGCCCGCTAACCAGACCGGAAGCCTCAATGATCTCATCTCGACCAGAATTTGTTACGGCTAAGTTAATTAACACGGCTATGGCTTTTTCGGTCCACGAATGTGAATCCGAGTCGACGAGAAACGGCTGGAGGGAATCGATGACACCAGATGAGATCAATCGAGGGATGTTGGAGTGGCAGGTCGAGAGATGGTAGAGAGCATGAAGTGCGTCGATTTTGCATTGTGAATCGAAGGTGCCTTGAAGGACGTCGATTAGGAAACGAACCGCCTCGCTTGAACCGATGACGGCTTTGGCTTGATCTAAACACGAAAGGTTCAGGTATAGGGCGATGGCTGCACCAACCGATTTCAACCCTTCGATCATTTGCACCAGTAACGAAAGTATCCCGGCTGCCAACATCGTTTCTTTGTTCCTGAATGAGAAAAACACATAACGGGGTTCGTTAGGATGCACTCGGGTTCGTTATAATTATTAGCAAAAAGGCAAATTACATGAAAATGCAATGTATATTAATCCGATTCCTATTTTGGTAACATAATTTCAAAGCCTCCATTTAAGCCTTGCCAAAATGACGTAAAACATACCTATTGTTATTGACTGCGAGATTGAAGAGCGCCATGGATCCGCTTTCTTGAGCAAACTCGTTTTGTTCATGTAGAGCCGACTCCAAAAACCGCAATAACGCTTCAATGAAACCATTCGCACCCATATAGATCCGAGCCTCTTCATCATCCTTTAGCAAACGCCGGATTTGCTCAACAACTCGACATTTTTTCCGCAGATTCTCCTCGGTGTGCAAAACCATCAAGAAACCATCGTATCTCTCAAACACATTACCGTCGTGCTCGAATGCAACCTCCACTTCATCTCCTTCGATCTCCTCAATAATATCGCTCTCCTCCAAAGGCAAAGGCGCCACCTTCATCCCCTTGTACTTAAACGACCCGATACTTTCCATTGGTTTCGAATTTACCGATTCGCTTTCCGACAACGACAGCCGCCAGTAGTTGAGATCGAGGGACTCCGGCGGTCCTTCGGGTACCATTACTCCATTCTGTTCACACCAGCTAGCAACCAATCCTTTCACACAGTAATTCGGAGTCAAACCGAGATGAGCCAACTGCTGCTGAGTCTTCGGGCAGGTGTTGTGCCCATCGCTGAACCATTTTTCGATACAAATTCTCTCGTACGTCTGTCCAGATGCGATTATAACCGGATCGTACATAAGCTGCAACGAGATCGGGCACCTTAGTTCTTCGGGCGGCATAGGAACCTGCCCGGATCGCCTGAAGTTCGGTTTGAAGTTAAAAGAGTTGAGCTTCGAGAGTTGTCTCTCAAAAGCATGGGTTCCGGATCCACTGTAACCCTCGAAAGATCCGTGTATCGTAGGCGAGCACGGTGTCGAACCCTGTGAATCGTTATCGTCCGAGAAATCATTTCTAAATAACTTCGAGTATTTTCGCATGAGATGTAAAAGATATGCTACGATGGATTCTTTCCTTTTATCTTCCTCAATCCGAGCTTTTTCCACGAGTTTCTTGAGAGCCCGTCTTTCTCGAACAGCTGCTCGTGAAGAAGTAATCCCGAGCCGAGAGGCAGCCTGATGGAACGTTTCTAATTCGTTATTGTCGGTATTGTTGCTAAAGTTTCTACCTTGTTGAAGTAGCCCGATTATCTCATCGCCAATTTGCTTTTCTAACGGATCGAGTGAAAACTCTATTCCTTCTAATTCACCTAAAATATCAGAAATCTGAAACATAGAAATCATTAGATCAAAATGCACCAAATTTGGAACATGGAACAAGGTGGAACAGACCTATATTTTACCAATATAACCTCAAAATAAAACTTAATTTTCTTCTAAAAAAATATCAAATACATCTCCTTCTTTACATTTTATTCATTCTTTAAATTTTATTCATTATATTTTACGCTCTTTAAAAACACTCACTTTTGCTATCCTCAAAATATAATTTTTATACCGTTTATATATATTTTGGTTAATTTATATAATTTATTAAATATTAATAATAATAAAATAATATAGAAAATGTATAAAATAGAAATTGAAAACTAGATAAACTTTTTATTTTGGTGTCATTATAACCGTGTTGATGAAAACTTTTTAATGATATATTAGTTATAAAAATATTTATTTTATTATAATTTAATATATTACATAAATTAATCAAAATATATAAAAGATATAAGCAACTCATTTGGGGTAAATTGGTTATTTTATCCGTTCTATGACCAGTTTTGTCTTATCAAATGTTGTTGTCATTGTTTTGTCCTGTCTTGCTTGGATTCCAAACCCACCCTATGGAAATAGCCGCTCGACTTGAGACAGAGGTTCCATAGCCGCTCTACTTGAGGCAGAGGTGAGGTCGCCATACATCTTAACCCCCGAGACCCCACCTCAAGGTGGGTTCTATACTGGGCTCGTTTGGTTTGGTTCTTGAAGTAAAAAGACCAATGTACCCTCATTCTTGAACCACCCTTAGGGTTATCCTCATGCATCAAGGCTCTTCGACTCTACAAGGGTTATATAAAAACGTTTGAGAAAGGTGTTGTTTACATTACCTGACAGCCTATAGTTTGCGGAACTATATCTTCAACCCTCCTTAGACCATCTTCTAGAGCCGATCTTGCCTTCTCAAATTTTAAAACAACGGAGTCTCCCGTTATAGCCTGCAAAATAGAAACATCCGTATAAGATCTTCGATGCCCCCTTCAAGGGAATTTAAATACAACGTAGAAGAGAAGAACAGAAACGGTACCAAGTAAATTTTGCTACATTCGGCGCAATGTTGAAGAACGGTTTTTGTTTTCTCTAATGCTATATGTAAAGAACATAATGCCTGAATCCCTGAAGTGCTTCGGGGACGGGATGCTTCTAGTTCGGGGAAAACGCTCAATACTTTGACGTAGATCAAAGAGAGCGTTTTGCACATTCCTCCATGTAGCTACAATAAAACCATCGTCAAACTTACATACAAACAATCATACACGCTCGTAAGGTAGAGATTTACGTAGTTCACCCAACAAGGCCACATCCACTCAAACATTCAGTGGGGAATGAGTATATATTCACAATATGCACAAATCAACACTAAATGGTTGTCTGGTTAGTTCTCCGTTAAGTACTGTATGGATAAATCTGTATACATTAGGAAGATTTTTGTTTCGAAGGGTTTTTTCATAAATGGAAGGAGCACGTTTTTAATTGGGAAGGGCAGATTTGAAAGAAAAAAAACTTGACTTTCTGCATAAAACTCCCTACTGAAAGCTTAGTGAATAAGCCACTTTCTATATAATCAAGTCACTACCAAACAGTCATGTATAGCTGACCGAATCTCGTTAAGCTCATTAGGCTGCTAACAAACAGACCCTAAAGAAGCAAGCAGACCTCACCTTTACCCTAAAGAGCTCTGCAACTATTTTCATGAAGACTTGGGCTTCAGAACTAAACCCGGATTTTCCCATTTGGATAAAAGATAAAAAGACTAGCAAACATCACAACAAAGAATTCAATTTGCACGAAATGACGTTAGCTAGATGCAGTAGCGACTAGTGTTTGATCTCGACATACGGTTCTAAAGTTTGAAGTATCAAACCACATTAGAATGTGTTCTAATCAGAGGATTAGATCAATGAACATCGAGTTATCACCTCCCTGCTTTAGCTTTCGTCATACCACAAGTCCTCGGGATCGTATAGTTTTTATACTACACAAAGAACAACCACGAAAACGATACACACACCCTATTGATTCAACGGAATCAAATGGCAAAGATCGACCACAGTTGTTGTAAATCAAACAATCAACGATATCTTGAATTTACCTTTGGTTCACCAAGTGCAAACAGATTCTCCTCAATTTCGGAATTTTCCATGATTTACATTCGCTAAAAGATGATTTTTGCTCAACTTCAAATACCCTGAAATGATCAGCAATTAGCATACAATATCGTCAAAAAATTAAACGACAAAAACATATATATAATCACAATTAACAGATTTCATATTTTCAACAAGAAATAACGAAGATTTGACCAGTAAATTAAAACACACAAAAACAAGAAATTGATGTAAACCCATTTGCACAGGAATCAGTAAATTACCCAAAACAAAACCCAAAAGCAAACGAACGAATCGATATCAACCCAGTTGCAGAGATTTGATCAGTAAATCACATGAAAAAAGATGCTAAAAGCAAAACTTGAATTTGACATCAACCCGTATCCAAAAAATTGAACAGTAAATCACAAAAAACAAAACAGAAAAATAAAATCAACCCATTTGCAGAAACTTCTACAACGAATTGGTACCAAAAAAAAAAAACTAAATGGGATTTGAAATTTCCATGAAAAAACTTCAAAAAAAAATTGTGTATCGAAAAAAACAAAAAAAAATAAACCCAGTAAATTTCACATCAATAGCACCCATTAGTTCAAAATCGAAGCAATAATGAGGATTTCTGTGGGGGTTTTGCCATAAAACTTACCAGGATAAACAGGGAAGCTTCATCAAACGAAGAGTCAATCATAATTTAATGGAACAACAAATCCTTTAGGGTTTCGAACATGCACATAAAATCCACTCGATTTGCTTCTATAAATTCTCGCATGATTTGAGTAAAAGTCGCAAAGAGATGCAATCGTTGCCGAATCTGAGCAGAAATAGAGTTAAAGGTGTAGATAACGACTGAGAGGGGGGTGGATTTTGGGTGTAAATCGTTGGAAGGGGATATTTTGAAATGAACATGAAATAGAGATCGAATAACAGAATAGTAATAAAATAATAATTACAATACCGAAAATACAATATTTAATCTGATATTAGATATAATTAATAAATGTATATTTAATTTTAGAAAACATTCGGTTTTCATATATTTTTATTGAGCATTTTGTTGTTATTGGTTTAATTACTAATAATTTTGAAAGCTAAGATTTTGAATTTATAGCTTACCAAATACAAATATTAGATGTATTTTTAAAAATTAAAATAAAAAGAAAATGCTTATACACATAAAAAATCACCTTCATGTATTTTCAAAGAGTTTTTTTTATTTGTATGGTTATTTACACACATCTTGTATTTGTTTGTATAAATATACATACATATATATATACACACGCACACATATGCATACATAGAGGAACGCTCAATTGCAAATCATTCTCATTTATGAAAACTCTACAAACCAATCTCATTCTTCCATTTTATTGATCAATGGTCAAGATTAAATAGTGTTATATTATGAAATTTAAAAAAAAAGTTTAGTTTTTAATTAAAAAAGGGCAAAATCGGCAAATCACCCATATGAGTCAGTTTCACTGTATGAAACTGTATTTCATCACTGTCTTCTTCACTGTATGCAACTATTTCACTGAATTAAATTGTATTTCATCACTATATGCAACTATTTCACTGTATGAAAAACATTATTTCATCGCTATATAAATGTAGTTCATTGTATTAGTATGTATTTCTTAACTAGATGAACATGTATTTTTTCATTGTATGAATCCGTTTCACAATATATATTCACATGTGTGAATCTAATTCAATGTATTAATCTGTTTCACATTATGAAACTGTATTAATATATCTTCTTCATTGTATGCAACTATTTCACTGTTTCACTGTTTTATATTTAAAAACAATTGATTTACACATTCCATATAAACGGTTTTTTTCTATATTTACGGTTTCATATTTTAAAATAATTAAATCATTTCCAGTATTATATTTAAAAACAATTGATTTACACCTTTCATATAAACGGTTTCTATATTTACGTCTCCATATTTAAAAATAATTAAATTATTTCCAATATTAACCATTATACAGTAAAATAACAATTATACCCTTACTTATTAAAATTAAAGAATAAAAAACAAGAATCTCCTATTGGTCGAAAATGGTTTGTATAGTTTTCACGAATCAGTCGGTTTGTAATCTAATCCGCCTCTACATACATATGTATACATGAATATACATAGTTATATTGTTTGAGTCACTCATGTTTTTCAACTTTTTTACAGCTATTTCTAATACAAGTATTTAATTAAATAAAAACATATATACTTAAAATGGTTTTCCAGCCTTCTGAATTTTCTTATAATTTTTCTAGGCACTTCCTAGATAGATCTTTTGGCTCCGTCCCTAAATGTAGTGAGACATTTTTTAGCTCATTTAAGGTTGAGTTAGCGAGGGGGTTCGGGGTCAAACTCGAGATCTATCTTGTATTTAAACAAAGTCGTCATACCATTTTACCAACTGAACTACACGCCAGAAACGTAGAAGAAAAGCCTAATATATTAAGATTTTTTTCTAATGAAATATTTTAGTAGTAAGTCGTAGATAATAAACACATTTTAATCGTTTTATTAAAATCAATTATCTTGTTACGAGTATGATTCGATTGTATACGTAAAGTAGTCGTGTCACAATCCTCATCATTGACATGTACGTCTTTTTTATTTTCGATCGATCCATCAGAATAAACTTTATACAGTCATGTTTTATTGGACTTTGTCCTTGTTTTGTTTAGTTATTGTGTTATAAGTTATAACTTGTTAACTGAGGTGAACGGATTGAAACGTGATATTTATATACCAGTAATTTAATTCTTAAACAGTACTCCGTTATGGGTTTTTTTGTTCTTTTTTTAAATGCATAGTTTTAGTCCTAAAATCAAACTTTTAATATGAGATATTGTATATCATCTACAATAATAAAATAAATATTAATAAGACAATTTTGTAATTACAATTTTGGTGAAATCAACAAAACAAAAAATGACGAAATTGTCCTTCATTTAACAGAATATTTCAAATAATCATTAGAGTAGGGGTAAAAAAAATTTAACGTTTTTCAAATGTCAATGATTATCTTAATTTTAAAATTATATAGTCGACTAATCCAGAGCGACCATCTGTTTTGGGGGTAGTTCGGAGTCATCGCATTTAAACCTTCGTAATCACAAAAGCGATTTTTATTCCTAATTAGATTTGAACCAATAATCTTCTGACATTTTTGACCTTTGAATCTTAAGCTTAAACCAAATAATCGATCAGAAACCATCCTAATGGTTTGAAAATTTGTTGTTTTCATCACATGGACACAAATTTGTAGTTTACTTTTAAATAAATAAACAATAAAAATGTTTTTTAATAAGAAAAAAGGAAAATATTGTACCTTTCTTTAAGATAACTCAAAAATGTATTTTTTTAATTATTTTAATAATAAAAAATGAAATACTTTAATTAAAATTTAAGAAAAAAGGTGACGAGAATTTTCCCGCTTTTGTTCTCCCGTTCACAGGCCGACAGTTGCCGACCTCCCAAGTTTGTCGGTTAACAGATCTGTCTTCATAACTACGTTCTGAAATACCGATATTACCCCTCACTTTTTTTCCCATTTATTTTTTAAGGTAATTGAATTTAAATTAAATTAAACACGTTTTTTTTTTTTAATTATTTGTCTTTCAATAAAAAATTATTAATTTTGTAATTGACTACTATGCCCCTTGCTTTTCCGGTTGTGGTGTATATTTATGAGTTAAATGCCTCAAGTGACGGTGACATTTAATGGAAGTGTTTAATATAGATCCAAATAATATGGGGGTAATTAAAGGAATATTCTATGAATAATTTTAGTTTTATTTTATAATAAATGAAATATTATATATTATTTTAATCAATAATTATCATTCACATGATTTGGAAAGAAAGAAAAAAAACTGAATATCCAACCCGTTATGTAAGCCGACTAATCTTAAGATGACCATTCATTTGCGGGTGGCCCGTAGTCATCGCTTTTGAACCTCGTGGTCATAAGAAGATTTTTTATTCCTCATTTAATTTGAATCTGGGAACTTCAGACACTTTTGACCCTTGGAGTCTAAACTTAAACCAATAGAGCACCACCCTTGTGATTAAAAAGATAAATTTTAGTTTCTATGTTTAAGAAAAATTGATTCTTAGTAGAATTCAGTTTTTAGTCTTTTTTAATTAAATGTCTATTTTAGGTAGAGTTTACATAAATGTCTTGCGCATTTGCATGGAGCCCACTTTCAGATTTAAAAAAACTCAGCGTAAATTTGCTACATAAAAATTTTGCGTAATTTTTTTTAAATCTAAAATAAGCTTTATACAAACACGTAAGACATTTAAAACTTTGGCTAAAATGAGAATTTGATATTGTCAAAAGTGACTAAAAAGTGAAATGTTTTGAAAAGATCGACTATTTTGGTCAATTTCTCTTAACGAGGTCTTGTGTATCAAAATATATTTTAATAATCAGCGATTAAAAAAAATCATAGTTTTTGAAGCTGAATGCAACAAAATACGATAAAAACATATTGAAATATATGATTGATTGAACAAAATCACACATAAATTGCTGAATGCAATTAAATTGCCTAACTGAACCTAACTGACATCGAACATCATCGAGCACAAACTCTAGAAAAAAACTCAAAAACCAGTAAAATCGAAGATTAAACCATGAAGATAATTAATGTATTTGCTTATAATATTCGATATAATAGTTTTAGAGAGATAATAAATGGTATACAAGATAAAATATAAAAGAAGGAATAGACATGACATAGTGATTGAAGTGATATGTATAATGAATGAAGATGTATCTTGGAAATAAAGGATGATAAATATATTTTTTCAATAATTAAATATTAAATTATCTATGTTATATTATATAATATTTGATAAAAATTCTTAAAAACCATTTTTATGTATGCAATATTGGTTATTGATGCATATTACTTAAAATTCAAGGTTACAAGCAAACTGTGCGTAAATACAACTTATTAAAACTTCATATTTGAATAAGTGTAACTAATTGCAGATAAATATAATCAAATACATGATAACCATCTAATTTTAAATATAAAACATTTAAAATATAATCAGAATAATCATTGAGTTATAACTTAATACTTAATTGTCATTTTTATAAAAAAAAAGTTATATTATTAAATCAAAAATAAATTACTTTGTTATTAAACCTAAATTAAATTATAATAAAAAATTTTGAATTAAAAAAATTATACAAAAAACTAGAATTTCTAAATAGTTAATTTCATATTAATATCGATATGTTTTTTCAAATTTATATTTTATTTAAAATTAAAAACATTATCGTTTTCTCAGACCACATAAACTCGTATTATAACATCGATAGAGACATAAAAAAAATATATAAAATTGAGATATATCTCACTGTGTTACGTAAATACCCTTCTACCATTTTTGATATAGACGTCTCATTGAAGCTTAAGAAGTGGTTTCACTTACAAATCAAATTATTAGTATATATCATACAAACCATTAATTGAGATATTTACGAATACAATAGAAGTTCATTTATTATAACCTGTATATTTATAGTATATTATCAAAATTCATTTATTACGATCAACGTTTCATCATAATTTTTCAAGATGATTTATTTCTTTGAAATAAACCATAAAAACTAAATTTTCTAATCAATTCAATTATTATATTATAATAATATTTAACTGATAAATATTGAATAAAAATAATTTTTAAATGAAATAATTTTTATTTTAATAAATAAAATATTATTCTTGAGAATAGATGGAGCAGTTGCATTTTATGGAAGATATAAATAAAAAATAAAGCAATGTTCTCCTGTCACGAGGAGTTCACGT